GGGATATCCAAGTGCTTTATCCACATCACAGAAACTTGGAACAAGGCATTTAAAATGGTCAGCTAGTCACTTCTTGCCTGTCACCATATGACCTTTCCTACAGCTTCCCATTTGCTAATCTTTCTCTTTGCCTCCCAACAAGGCTTGGAAGGGAAATACTTTACTTGCTAGCATGATTCATTTCAGAGCTCTGCTTAGCTGAGACAAAGCAGGTAGAGCTGCTGTCCACAGAGGTGCTTCCCAGCATGAACACCCATGGGACACCACCACTGACCAGCCACAGTGCCTGTCAGACCTTGTTCATCATGCCAGGCTGGCAGTGGTGCCAGCACAGTGACCAAACCACACTGTCCCCTATGCTACTGTGTGTCCAGAAACTGTGCCCCTGGCTCATGTCCAGAGACTGTTCTCCCTTTTGGTGCCTTCTTACTATGTCTTGGAACCTATTCACCATACACAGAATGCCATGCATGGCTGCATCTGGCCTTTAACTCCTGAACCCCACCAAACATACCCATGTGTCTCCTTTATAATGCTGAGCTCTTCGCTGGCCTCATTCCTTGCCTTCGAAGAGGGGACAGGAGTAGCTCCCTGTTGAGGCAGCACAGAAGCAACACTGAGTAGAGATGGGCCCTGGCAGCTGAGCAATGTGTCTGGAAGGTACGGGAGCACGTCTACCCTACACTCTGTTGCTCTTTTCCTTCAGCTTTTACAAGGACAACAGTTATTGTGAAGGTCAGAAGATAATTCAAGATGTTTCATGCCAGTTTTTCGTCCAATTTTTCATACAACCCAACCCTTGCCCATCCTCTGTATTTGAGAGGGTTGTTCTCCAAGAGCAATATTATCGTCTTCACTTAGGATGGTTGTATTGTACCAGCATCCTACGTGGTCTAAGGGTGAAGCCTAAGGTCTAAAGCTCAGGTACATCTGTAGTGGGTGGGAAGCAGCAGCAGGGTATGGTGGGAACCCCTCCTCTCCCCAGGGCTGAGCATACCCTGTACAGGACAAGTGGTTGAATACCCAAGCAGGCCGATGGTGTGATGGAGGCAAACACCTCACCCTGCCAGAGAGGGAAGGGGACAAAAAACCTATTTTTTTGTTTGGGCTGCCTGACATAAGGGCCAGAGGAGCACAAGCACTGTGATTTCTCACCAGGCTTCCCCAGGCACATCCCAGGACCTCTGAGAGAAATTTGCATCTCTGATTTAATTCAGCTGAGTTGAACAACTATGATTAAAAATTCTCATTAAATATCAGGCTGATTTGTAGGAACTGTTACTTGGCCTTGTGGCAAATTAGTGGGAAATCAACAGCTGATTACTTACATTTGAGTGTATATAGCATATCCTTATGAGCAGTAGGACAGAAAGGAGAGAAACCAACCTCACCAGCACAGAAGAGTAGTAGTTTAGGTCACTAAAATAAATGTTTCTAGGACAGGATAAGGTGATCAGTGCTAGATGAATTTTTATAATGCAAGCCCTGTGTCCCCTGTGAATAGACTGTATCAAAATAAACATGTGGAACCTTTCTTCTGAAGCAGGCTGGTGCTCTGCCTGAACTACTTCTTTCCCAAGCAACTATTCATTGTATGAATGTGGTGGGGATGTTTGTGCTATAATTCTCCTTCTAATAACCAAGCCAGGGGTACATGGTTAACAGTTTTAGCCAGTCTTTTGTTTCCAGAATGCCACTCTTCCCCACTTCTAGGTATGCATCTTTCTGTATGTTTGTCTGAGTACCCCCCTGATGGGAGTATGTGAACTTTCTCCTCCTTTTTCCAGGTGGTTTCCATCTTTTTGAGCTATCATCACTCCTTGATGATAACGATGTTACAATGAAGCTCCAGTATAACTGTCACTGTTAAATACTCTGTCAGCAGGAGTTGCATCATGTGATGTTGTTACTCATAGGTTTACAAATTGTCTTTGTTAGCATGAAAGAATTCTTCAAATTTTGAGAAATCCTTAGGCCACTTGTTTTTTTTATGTCACTTCTCTGAAGGGTAGCTATGGCACAGAGCCATGGTGTTTACTGCCTGCCTCCATCATTGCCATGAGCTGGAATTTCCTCCTAAACCAGGCACTGACAGGGATGAGACAGTAGAGTTCTGGTTTGCAATTAGGGACCTTCCCAGCTGAGGGACTAGGGGGATAACATAAAGCAAGCAGGTTCCACTAACCACATATTTAAGCTCTATGCCATGGGTTTCTCCATCAAGGTGTAAAACAGCTTCTGGTGGGGCTCAGGAGAGGGATGGCAATATCAGTTCGCAACACTAGTATACTCTGATGTATCTATTTTATTGAGAACAGTTTTAATCTCGTATGGTACATATGTACTGGCAAACCCTGTTAGCAATGCTTATGATGCTCTTGAAATTTTGCCATGTGAGCAAACAGAAGCAAAATGACAATTAGAAATTGTCTCACACTAGCAACAGCACAGCAGGTCCAGAATTTCATGTCAGTCAGTGAGAAACCTTGTTTAATGGAAGCTGGCCATGAGTTGTTTTACAGATCTAGCCATATCCTTGGCAGAACAGACCACTTAGATCTGTTGCTCTCTCTCAAGGGAAGAGGGTTCCTGGCAGTGTAATTTCTTGATGGTTTACAAGGTACAGCTGTAGGAAGACTCTTTCCATTAGGTACATTGTGCTTCTCCTAAACAGCCGGAGCTGAGCAACACTGATGCTGACTGCCTCACCCATTCCCATCCTTCCTCACAGCCACTCAGGGCTCTTGTCCCCATATTTCTGCTTTCTGTTGGGAAACCAGAGGAGGCCACAGTGCAGCAGAGGAAGACCTTTAGGGATTCAGGGAGAGCAACTTCTTTTGCTGGCACTGCCCATTTTGCTTGTAATACCCTAGATTTAATAGGGGTGCATGCTACAGGGCATTTTGTGCTGTGCTGTGAGGGTGGTGAGGCACTGAAACAGGTTGCCCAGTGAGGTTGTGGATGCCCCAGCCCTGGCAGTGTTCAAGGCCAGATTGGTAAGGCCTTGAGCAACCTGGTCTAGTGGGAGGTGTACCCCCCACCCCATTGGAACTAGGGGATCTTTAAGGTCCCTTCCTTTAAAGAAGGGATTGTAACATTCTATGATTTTGAGTGAAGGTTTAGCAATGAAAGACTGCAAAATCCTAAATGCTAACCCTTGCCATATTAGCGATGCCTTCTGTATTCTTGAATAGTGTGTGTGAACATTTCAGTTGCAATAAGCGATCAAATAACAACAAAACTGAATATTGTTGCTACATTTTAGCCTGAATTAGTTGAAAACACACTTGTTGGGATAGCAGTCATTACAGAATGAATAAATAAGCACCTAAAGTATTTGTTAAACACTGATAAATAAAATTTAGCTGGGCCTATAAATTTTCCTGTTCCAAAATATAGATTATGATATGGCTGACTTGGCTGTTTTGCAAGTCCAAATAAATAGCTGAAAAAAAAAAAATCTAAAAAGTACATGATATTTGTTACTTTGTTCTGTATAACAGAATTCAGCAACTTAAATTTGCCAGTTATTACTAAAAAACCCAGTCCTTTGGCCTTCATATTTCTTCTTTATGCTTGTACATCAATGAGCTGAATGCCGTGAAGTAGTAGCTTTATCCTCCAATCAGTGACCCCCAGCTTTAATTCCTCATAACTCATTTGATAAAAACTTACAGAGTAGTTTTGTTTTCTTAGCTAACTCTTGCGTAACAACCAGGCAGAATATTGCTTTAAGAGAACTAGTAGCAGAAGGAAGGAATTTATCCACTGTTCTTGCTATCAATAAGTTTTCACTCCTGTTTCTTCATAAAATATTCTTTATACAGGCAAATTTATCTGTGACTCATATGTGGAAAGTAACATGGGCTTAAATAAAGCCAAGCAATTAACTTCCCTCCTCCCCCCTCCAGTTTTATTCATGTCTTACCTGTTGAGGACTCATTAAATGAGAAACATTGATTGCTGAAAAGGAGTGTTATCATTGCCTGTCATTATGCCGCTGCTTTGAAAATGACGCTTTGACAATATCCAGGGTTTGTACCAGCATTTTACTGCTGTTACAGAAAATATTTTTGTGGGATGCAGCACCATGTGGCTTTTGTACCCAACATAGGTGCCATGAGAAGCTGCAGCAGCACAGAGCTTCTTTCTCAACCTGAAGTGGTTACAGCTGAAACATCACTTTTTTTATAAGGCCCTGGAGCAAAGGAGAGTGGGCAGTGTACTGGTGACAAGTGTTTCTGAGGCACTCAGCCTTTAGCAGGACCACTCCTGGTTTTTTCCCTTTGCCTTGCCTACACAAATTTACTTAATTTACCATTTTTTACTCTGTGGCTTTATGGACATACCTTGTGCTCAGAGTATGAGCACTTTCTCTTTACAGCTCAAACTGGTGGAGCAATTGGACTACAAAACTGACCACAGGTCACCACATTCTGGTGGGATTTATGAGGAGACTTTGAATTTTGGGTGTAATTCAGTAGAGTTACTACCATCCCTTTTGGCTTTGGGAAAGGGCCCGCAGAGGAGGACGAAGAGCCTCCCAGTAGGAAGATCTCCCTTGGTAGTCAAAGGCATCAGTGATGCTGACTCTTGAAGTGGAGATTGTTTCGGGGGGAATGTGGGAACACTGAAAATGCCTTTTCAATCTGGACAGCTCCCAGGGTTCATTCAGCCTACAGGTTTGCAGAGAGTTACCTCCATATGAAAAAATCCCAAAGAAGTGGCTGGTTTTGTACTGTGCTGATGCACTCTGTGGTGCCTGGGAGCCTTGATCCCTGACTAAAGCCCCTAAGGCTAGCGTAATGCTCAGGAATAACATTACCCACAATGGATGTTTCCTAAAATCAGGGACTGTGGCATAAAGCACTGCTGACACATTTATCTGACCTGGATATCATCACTCTGTTATTAAAATGAAATAGAGCGACTGTGAGATTAACCTGCAAGTAGAGCTAACAAAATGACAATTCATAATGATTCTCACATTCCTTCAACAGAAAAAACTGCTTAGACAATCTAATGGATGAAGATGAGAAAGACAGAGCAAAGAGGTGAGCACCTTTTCTTTTATAATTCTTTGTGGTGAGCTTTATACTGTTTGTTGCTGCAGAAGCTGTTTTATCCATAATCAATTAATCAAAGAGAGAGAGAGTAAAATACAGTCAAGCACAACTTGAAAAACTGCCATCTCACAGACTCCTACTCTTGGCTGCCCTGTAAGAAGAAAATAATGTAGCAGTGTTTCCTGTGGAAAATTTAAAAAAGCCAAGGCATTGATCGTTTTCTTCACATTACTGCAGAACATCAGAACTGAAGCACCAACAACGTACTCCTGCCTCTATAATACATCATCTGAGCTTTCCAAGTGTACAAAAATGTGTTGTTTTTTTTTAATACATTTTGCAAAAGAAAAAGAACTGAAAGAGTGGGGGTTTTTTTTCCTATTAGGATGGTCCTTTATTCATCAGTGCCTATCTCACAGTAATGAAAACACCCAGAAGTTACCTTCAGAGCAGAAAAAGACCATGAAAAGTCAGCCCTAAACTGGCACAAACCTATATTCACACATATCCTGCACTCAGTCAAGTCCTAGTTGGCGGGAATTTGTAGTAAACCCTTTGTGGGGAGAGAAAAGGGGTGTTTCAAGGCAGAAGACCTGTGGCAATAAAACTCTTAATAACTGTCAGAGCTGACTGACATCTGCAGAAAAGCGGTTTGGAAGCATTCGAGGTTATCAATGCCGCAGCCTGCAGTTTAATTACTTTAGAGAGGGCTGTGGGTTGCCCACATTTTTCCCCTTGGTTCCCTCTAATGAGAGTATTTCCAGTCCAGGCACAAGCAGTTGATCCAGTTTCATCTCTTTTGATTCCTTCTCCGCTTCTTTCCCTCCCTGCAGCTTTTTCTCACCAATATAGGTCAGCACGGGCTGCAGCCAAGCTCAGCTGTTCCCCTTTGCTCCCATTTGGAGAGGGTGCAGAAGGGAGCCCACCTTGCAGCACCGCTTCACCTGCTTAAGGCCTGATTATCTTCAAGATATTTGTGTGTTAATTGTTTAATAAAAAAAAAATGCATTAAACAAGTGAATATATGAAAAAACTAGGATAACACGTATCCTCACTATCAGTGATTGTCATCACCATCTGGTATGGTTTTCATGCTGTTTGTTCCCAGAGGGAAATTTTTGTCATACCTTGGGGCAGGCCTCTATCAGGGTGCATAAAACAAATGATAACTTTGAAAACGAAGAAAGGAAAATGCTTCTTAAAATGTAATTTAAGTACATGTAGCTTTTTAGAAATAAAGCTAGATTTGAAATGAAATTTGAAATCATGAGAGGCTTCATGAAGGTCTAAAGTTAATACATTATATTAAAACCGTTCAGATTCATTTAAAAGCTACAGGTTTTCTTCCAAAGCTTTAAAGAAAGTCAAACTCTGGAGAAGCCATTTGATGGACATTTTGCTGCCATGTGTTGAAAACTGAGGACTCTCACCTGTCCCATGCCATAGGAGAAATGCTTTCTTTGTTTTCTTCTATTCGGTGTAAGGACTGGGTGTCTCAGTGTTGAGAAACACAAGAGAGGATAAAAAAAGCCAAGAAAATTGTTCTCTCCTTTCATTTTCTCAGTTAAAAGTAGGTAAGACTGAAAAGTTTTGAATCTTATGTCTATGGGGGTGGACTCAAGCCAGGAGCTGGGTTTCTCAGGTTAGAAATACACAGACACACCATTTATATCTGCTGCAATGTATTAGGCACATACGGTTTGTATTATACAGACATGAAAAGAGGATCCATCCTCTCCTGAGAAGAGGCACTTGCACTCCCACCCTTGTGCCAACTGTTAGTATCTGGCCAAGATATATAGCTCTTCCTTTAGGACACTGGTTAAATTGAGACCCATTCTGCATCATCTGACTCCCGAAGGCAGAGCTCCACTCCAAAGACCTGAGAACTAAAATGTGGATATGTGGCACCACACTTGGGAGCACTGAATACCTATGTGAGGTCTTCTGAGCTTCTGGAGATCAGAAACCATAATTTCATTTTCAGTTCTTTGATGTTAGGTGAGGTTTATTTTATTTTATGGATTTATTAATTCTAAACAAAAAGCGTGCTTTGTGCACTTTTTTCTCTATTTGCTTTTCTTTCGGTTTGCTTTAATAGTAAATAATTTTAAATACTTTTTTTGCAATTCAGTTGAATTCCAAATTCCAACCAAAACCAGCTTGAAGTGAACCATGAGAAAGTGCTTAATCATGAAGACTACCACCTGCCATTTTCCACTGAAATAAAAAGTAAATTTAAGAATCTGAATGAAGGTATGTGGTACAGTTACTTGCATTAATGCATATATAACATACTACACTGGACAGTAAAAAGAAATACAAAATTTAATGTACAGTCACATTTCATCAGCAAAATGTAGTGGCTCGTAGTCAGTCATATCCGTCTCTCTTTAAGAGAACAAGTAGCAAATATGTAAGAGAACAAAAATGGCTGTTTATAACACATGTTAAATTGGTGATTTTGACCATTCTGAATGCAGACTGTCCTGTATTGCCTTTAGCTGTATTACTGAAAGTCCTGATTTTATTCATACTGTGGCTCCTTCTTCCTCTTGAATATGCTGTAATCTTTTTGGAGTATCAAGGAAGAAGGAAAACTGGGACAAATAGTATGGAATTAAGACAGAGGTTGTTTGAGCTTACTGTAATTGTATGCCCTAGCAGTGAAGTAAGCAAGTCTAGGAAATAATCTTCAAAGGGAAGTGATGAAAATGGTCTTATTTAATACATTTATAAGTATACTAAACAAAATATTTTCAACTGTGCAGGGATAGTTTTTATCTTTTTTTTCCCAATTTTTATTTTTTTTTCTTTTCAAAATTTTGCTGTAATCATCTATTCAGATCTTGGTAGAGTTATTTCCACTAGAGAAGTTTTTATATTTCCTTTGTGAATAAAATGTCGAGTCTTAAAAATAGATACTTTATATTTTTGTCAAGGTATTTTTTATTTTTTTTAAAGCACCACTTTCCCTATCAACAGTTGGTGGTTTATTTTATTTTCAGGGAAATCTGGACTCTTTAAGCTTAAAATGAACTGGGGATTGAATTATGAGGAACTAAAGTGTTGATATTCTTAACGTCCCCTTGAACTGTAGAGAAATAGGATAAGACTGGAGGTTTTTCACATCTTGTTCTGACAGCCTTTTGCACTGTAATAAGAACAGGCTGAAATCAGTCAGGCAGTATCCACCCAATCTCTTGTGTTCAAAGCTGTAAAATAATCAAGCGTTGGCTTCTATCCAGTATATCTCCGAGTGTGTTCAGGGTTGAGAGCAAGACAAACAAAAATTACCCTTCTGTCAGTAGTAACATCCAGAAGCCTCTGTAGTGATTTCTCTGCAGAAAATGTTTATTGCTATTCTGGTCCTTGGAGGGGATGTAGATGCTGGGCTAAATTCTGCTCTGATTTTCAGCAGTGTGCATCCAGAGCTGCTTATGAGGCACAGCAGAGTTAGCTGGGACCGAGAAATCCAGAGAACCAGCCTCTTGGCTTTTCTTTCCTGTCTACATGTAACCAGATTTTTAGATCTTTACGTAATTGACAAGGCAAATCTTGTCTGCTTGAGGACCTTTCAGAAAAACAAACAAACCTTCTGGGTTATATTTATTTCTATTTTCACATGGCCAGAGAAGTCCAGGTGATAACCTCCAAGTCAGACTATTGTGGTATTCATGGGAACAATTCAGAAAACACTTGTTTGTGTATAGAGTGACATGTAATTAAAAAAAACCCCTAAGTGTACATGCTGAAAAGATTATCAGCGGCCTTAATGATAGTATCATGATGGTGCCAAAACACCGCAAATGAAATCAGATCCTTTTTTTCCTGTGAGCTCTTCAAATGCAGCAGTAGAAACAGGCTCTCTTTGAGGAGTCTGTGAGCTAAACAGACAAGACTGGTGATGAAAGCTGTAGAGTCTTTTTTTTACACCTAAAGACTCAGGGCACCATGATATTAAGTGATTTTCCTAGTGGCACACAGAGATTAAGAGCAAGCACTTCTGGCACTTCTGAGACCCCAGGTCTGGGAAGACATCCTGGCCTCAGCTCTAGTCCTTGCTGGGATGAGCCATGCTGATGCTCTCTGTCCTGCTTACCCATATGACCTTGGAAAGGAAAATGAACAAGGTGGCATATGAACTAGATGGGAGCTGCAGCAACTTCTAGTCAGGTCCTTGATCTTAATGACTGGAACACAACAACCTGATTCTTCTCTGTCAGCCTGGAGGTGGGCAGACCACCTGTGACCGAAGTGGGAGGTCCCTCTAGGTGAATCCAGCTCCAGTGCAATGGCTGCAGGACTGGGGTCCCTCTCTTCGGTTAAGACTGCACAGATGGCTATGATCCAGTCCCCAGTCTTCTTTATGAACAAGTTTACTGTTGTTACAATATTCCTATTTCTTCTCATTCTGAGTGCCTCTTCAGAGGCTGCGTGAACTTTCAAGATCCTACATATATCTGGGAGATGTGCAGAGCTCCTTCAACTACAGGCTCAATGCTAATCTGACAGGCTCAACCAGAGTGTCCAGAGGCAGCACAGAAGGGCGAGCAGAGCCTCCATCTCCCCAGTGGATACCAAAGGTGGCTCAAAGGCAAGAACAGGAGGTGGGAACTTCTGTTTCCTACTTTCCTCTGCAATTTTGCTGGAATCCAGTGTCAGTCTTCACATGCTGAGGGATGCAGCAAGCTAATTTCTTTGTGTCTACATTACGAAGAGCAGGTACATGATCATTTTTCCTCTTGGTCTGCTCATCCTTTTTTTTCTTTTCCCCTGTCTACAGGGCTTCACGTAACAAGTCTGAGAAGAAGAGGCGCGATCAGTTCAATGTTCTCATCAAAGAGCTCAGCTCCATGCTTCCAGGCAACACTCGCAAAATGGACAAAACTACTGTGCTGGAAAAAGTCATTGGCTTTCTGCAGAAACACAATGGTAAGATTTACTGCAGCTCTCCATGCATTTGCTAGACAGTTATTGTAATATCCTGTTTCCTTCAGTGATTATCAGAATGGCTTGAGTGACCTAAAAGTGCCAACATAAGGTGTTTGGGTTTTTTTCTGTCGCATCAAGAAAGATAATTTCTAAACACTGTGCTGCCCAAATCCATCTTCTTGTTTGCTCTTTAGTTGAAGATGATTCTCAACCTGCTAGAGAAGGGGGTGAACGGCAGGCACCGAGGGGAAGAGGGTAGCAGTGCCCTGCAGCACATATGAAGAAGAGAGATGCTTTGAGCAAGAGAGATTTGGGGCCAGAGGGAAGATTCCCTTCCTTGAAATTTGCAATATTCTGAGCAGAAGAACAAAGCATTCATCCCAGCTTCTCTGCAGATAAATGCAGGGAAGCAATCTGTTCAGCACCCCTGCTCCTCAGTGGACTGTGTAGGACTCAATTTTCCACATTGAGCAGAAAACTCAGAACAGAAAGCACCTCAGTTTTTGAAGTTGGCTTCAGCAAATTGCATCCACAGACCGCTGACATGCTTCACCCTGTTTGCACAAGCAGAAGCTACATCACATTTGCACAGCATCCAGTTGCAGTAGTAAAGCTCAGCCTCGGAAAGCCAGGAGTTTACTTTTTAAATTGCTCCAGCATTGACAGGTCCCTTAGAAATGTACCTTCACAGAGGGCAGAGGAGATTTCTGACCTTGCTGATCTAGTCTGTTTGGTCCATTTTCTACTCAGTTAGAGGAATGTGCACTGTGGCCTTCCAGATGTATGGACATCCACCAGCAGCAGTCAGTTGAAACAGTTCTCCCTTATAAATCAGGGCACTGGTTTAAAACGGGGCTCTCTTGCTATGCCCCTGTGAGGAAGAGTCTTCAATGTGTGACTGTGAGGAATGGCCTGGGCCCCACAAAGCAGAAAGGGGTCTCACGAGCTGATGCACCACATCACCTGACTCACCTTTGCTCATGCAGCACCTCCCTCCTGCACTCCCTGGAGAACTCTGGGTGAAACAGAAAACACTATAAAAACTCCTATAATCATGACTCCCAACATAATGGAGTCACAAACGTCAGTATTACTGAGGAAATAATTACAATGATTCTGTTGTTAGAGTGCAGTTTGTCCTTAAATGAATTTTTGCCACAGACAAGATAGAGTTGTTTTGAGGTTGGAAAAGACCTTTAAGAACATTAAGTCCAACCATTAACCTATGGTTTTATACAGGAAGGGACAACTAGGACAAAGTTTAATAATTGTATATAATTTTTTTTAAATTACAGTAATAATATATCTTTTCTTTTTAGCTGCCCAAGGCAGAGTAAAGGAGGATGTGCATATGTTCAAATATAAAGCCAGGCAAAGAACAATCAAACAAGGTTTGAATAAATGTAGATAGATGTAGCTGATGGCCCAAATAATTTACTCCAAAAGGCACTTTTTCTTGAAGAACAACTAGGTAAAAGAAAGCTAACAGTCACAAATCCTTCCACAGCAATTGGGTCAAAATGTGACTGTTTTTTGTGCACTTGCTAAAAAAAGCAAATGTTATCTATTTTTAAACCAGATTAGTAGTCACACAATATAATACAAAGCATCAGCATTTAAAAATGTTGATTATCTCCCATGTACTTTGGATCTGGTTTATTCAATCGTATTTCCCTTTCATTTAGTGGGCTAAACCAAGATTTTAGTCATAATGGAGGAGGAGGTCAATTTTCAGATTTTTCCCTTCATAAACAGTCTCCTTCTTCATAATCCACAGAATCTCCCAAATCTCAAGTAATTCTTCCAACAGTCGCCGTTTCATGTACATTAGCTTTTCCAAGCTACAGATCTGCTGAAAGTATCCTATATTCTGAAACTATCTAATAAAAATCTGGTGGACTCTTTTTCCTTAGTCTGGTTTTCAAACCTCTGTGTAAAACCGTGGGAGCTGTGGAGAGCTGCTGTGCTACCAGTGACAGCCCCCAGCAGTGCAGAAAGTGAGTCAAACGAGCTGGTAAAAGCAGGCATCTGCATCTCCACTAATACAGCCTGAATGGAGGTTTTGATTTCTTTCGAGGTGACAAAATGCACAGGCACTCGTATAAATGTACTGTCTTTAGTATCATTTATCCATTTGCATTTCTCTGGCCAGTTTGCCTATGTGCTCTGAATATGGAGCATTGGGTGTTACATGCTCTGGAAGTGTTAATCAGTAGGATTAATTAGCAGGCAGTGCTGAAAGGAGAAGACAGTCTGTGCTCACTGTTCCCTCACTACTAGAGCTGAGTAAGGAAGCACTCTTAGAGAAGCAGAGCAAGCAGCTAACTAAACCAGCTCTAGTCTCTCTAAATTCTAAGATCTGTCCCCCATAACCCTGTCTTACTAAGGCAGAGCTAACATGAGTGAGTGACTGTTTTCCAAAGGAAACAGCTACCCCCAGTATGGTCCCCAGTTTCAGCGCGAAGTTGTGACTTGTTACCCCAGTGTGCCTGCACCCCTTCACTGAAAGCCCTCAGGGAGCGAGCCCTCTGCAGGCTGCTGTGGGGTCAGCATTGGCCAACAACAGGGCAGACCACCCTTTGGTGTCTCACAGGCTGACAGTACAGGAGACCCTGCCCTCCAGACAGGATTTGGGATGAGAGGCTGGTGCTCCGTTCCCTCTCCTGGGCTGCCCTGCACAGTGGGGCTGGAGGTAGGCACAAGAGGCAGTGGTGCAGTAGCAACAGTGTAAAGCTGCTGCAAATGCTCATGTTTCTCTCACATTTTGGAAAACAAAGCAAGAGCTCTGCTGTTCGGGGTCATCCCCCTTTGGGGCTCCTCTGAAGAAGTTTTCTTGCTGCTCCCTCTTTGTCACAGAAGCTGTAGGCTGAACCCTCTCCAGAATCCTAATTTTGAAACTGGAAAATTGTAAATAGCAATTTGACACGTGTTAATACTTGCCTTGATTTTAATTTCATGCAAAGTGGTTTTATCTTTTGATTAATACCCCAGTAATGCTGCTTGAGGCCAATGGCCTTGTGAATACAGACTCCCACTGAAGTCAGTACAAGTTGACCTGAGTAAAAAATGAGGAAAACATTTCAAGATTTGGGCCAGTTTAGATAGTCATTACTGTCTCCGTATGCAAAACCCATGCTTGAAAACTGCAATTTTTGAATGTAAAGGTGATTTCTCTCTTTTCATAGCAATTCATATTTGTTATTGCAAGATAGAAGTTAATTTAAATTTTAAAGATGTAAATGTTTTTTTTGTCTAGAAGTCTCAGCACAGACGGAGATTTCTGAAATTCAGCAGGACTGGAAGCCTTCATTTCTCAGTAATGAAGAATTCACTCAGCTGATGTTGGAGGTGAACATGAATATATACCTTTCCTAATTTTGTCTAACAGTCATGGAAACACCCATGCATCTAGAATAAACTGTCATCTGCAGTTCCAAAAGAGGAGGTTTCAGGTACTGCTGTATTTGACCATCAAGCTGAGCTATCACCAGGACAAGGGATTAAAGTCCTCACTTGTTGCTCTTCACTCTCAGCGGTGCCACTGCACCGCGATGCCGCAGCCTGCTAAGCTGTGTAGCAACTCTCAAGAAGTGCAATCCAGGGGAAAGATTCAAATTACAGGTTATATTTTATTTTTACAAGCAGAGGTGAGGTGAAGAGCATGTGGCAATTTTTCTCCTGTTCTTGGAGGGCATTATTATTACCTAATATTTATGCAAGGCTAGCACCTAAAAAGCAACAGTGCTGCATCCCCCTAGTGCTAGATGCTGTACTAGCAGATAAAGCCCGACAGCTACTCTTGGTTTGATGCAGTTGATGCTTCCACTCTGTTTTGCAACGCCCTTATCAAACAATTTTTAGTCTAACATTTTGCAATGATAGTTTTTAAATTATACCATAGGTCCTTTTAATGCTAGCTAGGACATAACTGAATGGTGTTTATGTAGGTTCAAAATGAAATGCAAATGAGCTGCTAAAATGTATTTTTCTCTCTCAGTAACAGCTAGAATCATCTTTAGCGAGGATCTTTTCCTGTACTAAACACATGGAGGTTTCATGGCCCCACGGTGTCCTTTGAGAACAAGCTTCTCTTCCTCCCACAAATGATATGAATATGGGACATGATCCAGGCTCTGGCAGTGGGGAGGGAAGGATATTGGGAAGCACCTTCACCCACCAAGGGGTTGCATAAAGCTGGGGCACATTGCTGCTCCCAGGGGCTGGAAGTCCCTTGGCCATTGCAGTTTGTTGTGATGAGACTCCCCTGGTCTAGTTTTATAAGGCACTTTGCTCCCCTTGCTCTGACAACCACCCATTCCCATCTCAGTGCACAGGAACTTAACATACATAACTCCTTCAGTCTGCACTGAAATATGTCCCTCAGATAGCAATAAATTGGCAGTTGTTTTGACGGGCAGGGCCTTTGTTGATTCTACTTGTATGCTACGAAATTTTAGATTAAACAATCACTTTTGGTTTCCCAGTTTATAAATCACCTTCTTGCTACTGTGATTTTCCATGCCCTTCAAGATAACATTGGGTGTTGGGATGTCCTGTTGTGCCAGATGTTCATCATTCCCTGCTATTTTGTCTTTCTACTAATCTAATTTTATTAGCATTTGGACAAGACTGCTTGAAGTTTTTCCCATCCTGTTATTAAAAGATGGGAAGGGTTTTTTCCAAGCACTAATTCAAAATAATCAGAGCATAATTGACTGCAGTAATACACCAGCTTTCCTGAAAGTGGCTTTTTCTTACCCCATTGAAAAGGCTGTCATCACATTACAGAAGAGTGGGCACTGGGCTCTGTTTGTCCATCTAGGACTATTGCAGCAGTGAAATCTTTGAAGAGGGATATGCTCTCTTAATGTTGGAAGGTCCAGTCATGAGTAAATAAAAATAGAATTATGTATGCATACACTAAGTTGATTTTACCACAAAATTCTGATATGAGTCACTGTGTATAATTTGCATTGGATATGAAATAAAGACTTGACTTTTTAAAAACTAACAACCTTCACCATAGTAACATGCACAATCCAACTGTCGTGTAAAATCATTGCTCTCTTCTACAGGTTAACAGCTATCATGCTTTTTTAGAAAACAGCTTGAATGTACCACACTAAAGAAAAACATATTCTCTGTACTTAGATTAACAAAATGAAACTAACTATAGCAGCTGGAGGGTTTTCAGAGATGCTAAACACACACTCTTCTACTGGGGTATAAGTTATTGACTTGCTTTTCAAAGGATTGAAGCACCAGCAGATTCCCATTGACTTAAATAGTTGTGGGTGCTCAGCATTCTCTGGAAAAAGGAACATATGTTTGTGTGTCTATTCAAGGCTTTGTGTTTTCTTTTTTTTTTTTTTTTAACAATTAGCATTTTCCAGTGTTCTCAGAATTCCTTCCCTTATTGAAGTCAGCGGGGAGGAGGGGGGAAAGGAAGGATGTGCTGCAGCTTTACAAGATCAACTGCTAGTCTGGCTCGGGGTCAGGCCTGGATTTGCAGTATGGTTTTGTAATGCTGTGGCACCCTGATCAGGCTGTTTGCAGTACACCTGTGTCCGGAGCACATATTGCTACTGGAGTACAGCTGAACTCTGCTCTGATTCAGTCGTGCTTGCAGTGCCTTTGCTGCTCAGGTACTGCTGGCAGCACCGACTCCAGAACACCAGGGAACTGACAGAAAGGCCCCAGACTTGCTCCACTTGAACGATTGGAAGCCTCATCAGTGACTCCCTAATGACAATGGGAAGGTTTTAATATATTCTCTGAGCACCTATTATGGAGTCTTAATTTTTTGGGGTGTCCTCCTCCGAGTGATCTAGAGCTCATCTTGCTTTAGTTCACTCTGAGGAGAATCCCCCTCCCAAAATTAAGTTAATCTTGCTTTAGATCTCAAAATGTACATGAATTTAACTTTGAACAACACTGAGCTCAAAACTTAGCAGCTCAGACTAAAGAAAAGCCTAATTTTGAAGGTGAAATTGCTGCTGTAGAGAGGGTGGGGATAAGGCTGACATTTCCCTTCAGTCCTAGGAATGAAGGGGCTTACTGGAAGGCGGGACTGAAGTGAGGAAGAAACTCTGCAGAAGGGTGAATTTCTCTTGGAACGAGTAATCTAATACCATGACCTTTAAAATAAATCACTCAATTAAAACTCAGGCTAAGGATTATTTGATCATTTGCATTGCTTTTACTTACATGAAAGCCCAGTAATATACAACATTACATTAATACAAACCAAGATTTATGGGGTTTGCAGAGAAGTACCATTTTGAGATAGGACTGCATCCTTTCATTGTCCTTTGATATTTACACAGAGCTCAAATGTTCATTTTAATAACTTCCAAGGGATCCAGTCTTAGTCATTTTGCATTATTAAAATGTGTGATTAATTTAAAAACTGAGACATGAAATGTTCCTGTGAGCCCTTTGTTACTTCAATAGTAGGTTTTACTAGACTACAAAGAATCTTGTAAAAGTTAAATCAGACTGTAAAATCAGAGAATTACTGTTCTGCAACTTGAGATAACATTCCTACAACTTGATAACAATATGGTGCTGAAATGAAATTGTTTTGATCAACACACGGTGAGATGTCTGTTTACACCAGTCATTCCTGTTAAAGCACTCTCCACTTGTCTGTTTTCCTTAGGCATTAGATGGCTTCATTATAGCAGTAACTACAGGTGGAAGCATCATCTATGTGTCTGACAGCATCACACCTCTTCTAGGGCATTTACCGGTGAGTAATTCTGGCATTGTTTTTTCTACTACACATCATAGAATCAGGCCCTGCATTTTTAGAAACAGATGCAAAAGGGTGCTGGGGGTGGAGTTTTCCTGGAAATGCGGTGAGGGAGTTTTTCCCTGTGGCTGCTGCTGTTGCTCAGCTCTACTCTCTGATTCATACCCTTCAGGTTTTTGTTGCTATGAGGCACTTCAGCTTGAATGGAAAAAGCTCTGCAGGAATAGTTTTGCCAGGGGAGGGACAGGGTGACCTGGCTGATCTTTTCCATCTCTGATTTCTAAGCTAGGAGAGAATAGCACCAGTGGTGCTGGCAGCCCAGCAAGGAGCTTGTTAAGGGCCTTATTCTGCTCCCAGGGAGGTAAAGGACAAAAACCCCATTGAATTCAGAGTTATCCGGAGGCTGCTGACAAGCTCTCCCTGCAGCTCAGCTGTGCTTTCCCAAGGGGAACACACCCTGCTCCCAGGAGGTGCTGGTGGAGCCAATACTGAGTGCATGGTGCACCTATTCCTTGGTCAAACTGGTGCTCAGTCCAACATGAGCAGCTTGTTTTATCCGTGGGCTGCTGGGTGCTGCTGTGGGAGACACTTGCATGCACTGGCTTGGGCTGGAGGAGCAGATGAGAGGGACTGCTCCCTGTTGCTAAGACTCCTCTAGGAGAAATGACATAATAATTATGGATTAATCTTCATGCTCATTTTTTATATCCTAGTCTCAAATAAATACATGCCCAGGAGAAAAAAAATAGCTGCCAAATTATTGTTGTACTACCCCCTGCCATGTTCTTAAGAAAATTAGAATTTTTTCTCTTGTTTATTTTTTCACCAAATATGTGTTACATTTTCCACCCAGACAAATGTATTTCACACATACTACCTTGCTGTAATATGAACAAAAATTACTTTCTTCTGAGACAAAAGGAACTTGATGAAAGGCAACAGCTCCTGGTAAATGTAAGAATATTGCTATGCAACAACATGTTGAACTGAATCTATCTATTTCAGTTTTCTTTCGTCCTCAGCAGTTGAGAAGACGAGTAGTTGACTATTTTCTGACATTTGCCTTCACTTCAAAGGTGGGGAGAGCTCTGTCCTGCATACAGGCTGTGGGGTCTTCATGCACTTACTGATTTCCATGAAATGTGCTTGTCTTTCATCATTTGGTGGTTTCATTGGTATCCCTTCCAAATACTGATTCTTACAGGAGATGGTAGATCTGCTGTGGGAAAGCATTCCTCTTTAGGAACATGCATTTCCAACCCTGTGCCTAAAATCTTAAGCCCTGACTGAAAATGGATAGATTCAGGTTCATAATTCCTGAGTTGGACCATCAGAAACTATATCAATTTTCTCTCCCAAAGACATGCCTTGTGTGATAACCTTACACGGTATCCAGCCCAAAATAAGGATGAAGATGGACATTACTTTTTATTCGCCTAAAAGCAGCACATGGCAGCCCAAGTCAGGAACCAACCTGACAGACTGCAACTGAACAAGCAAGAAAGGCTTCTGCCTGCCTCAGGTCGGCAGATCACCATGGCCATGGGCAGGTGCCCAGCTGAGGGTGCAATTAGGTGCACACTGGATATTTGAATCCTCTGTTGCCCTTTCCATATGTTTTTTTTTTTAAGTTTTATAACTGAGACGAGTGCTATCTGGAAAATCTATGTGGCTTATTTTGTTTACCTCCAGGATCTGTTTGTAAGCTAAATTCAGTCACTGTTTGAGGAACAAAATACCAATTCTTCTCCTCTGTGACAACAGGGAAAAAAATACTCCACAAATCTTCTACTTTAAGCAATAAAAAAAAAAAGCAAAACTGGGCAGTACACAAAGCAGGGCTCTCTGAGGGCCCCTATCAAGAAATCTGATGTATTTCCTTTCATTTAAATCATGTAAGTCTCTGATGCTGACAGCAAATATATCCAATTCTCTTTAATACAGCTTCCATAAGTTCCATGGAGCATTTTCAAACACAAACTTTCCCTGTTGTAATTCTAAATAATTTGTTTCAACAAGATCTGGTATTACTCCTAGTGTCGGTTGAGGTAGAGAGATGTAGCTCACCTTACAATGGTAAGGGTGACTCTAGTTGAAGTGTATTCTTGGAAATATAGTCACAACTCATAGCATTCGCCAGCCAGAGGGTACCCTGTGACTCTAGAAATACGCAGTTTCTTGAGAAGAGTCCTCCCTGTCCCTTCTTGCCTGCTTTACCAGGACGTCCCTGACAGGGTTTCTTCACAAAAGGAATATTCAAGTAATGAGCACATGTAATAAATACTTAATACTGAATCATCTAAAGTGAAATACTATCACATCAAGGTAAGTATATAAATCGTAGCACTCTAATTTTTAAAGTACACTTGATGAATTTCACTACACTGAATGGGAATTCTACCCAGAACAGCAGTTATGGATAGAAAGCAGAGGGAAACCAAAGTGCAATCTTACATAAATAAATGATGATGATTAATAACTTGCCAGTCTCATACAGAGCTTACATGTTTTCAGTATGACTATACAGTCTGATATCAGCTGCTCTGATGACACACAAAGCTGTGTCAGTGTGCCAGCTCAGCCTGAGGTGGTCTCAAGTGGGTTGGATTTAAGTCAATGTTATTAGAGGGTCACTTTATCTTAGGCTTCCTTTCAGATACACTCTTCTAGTGTTAGGTTAGTCACCATGCTGAGCACAGTGAGACCCTCGCCTTGGCAGCCCTGTGACAGACTCTTTTTCTTCTCCAGCCTGGACCTTTTGCAGAAATCCATTTCCTCTTTCTATTCTCAAATCTCAGCAGCCAGGTTTTGAAGGAATTTCAGGTTCATGCCAGCTGATAGTGGGGCTGGAGACACATGGACATTCAGCCCATGGCTGTCCAGAGGGCTTGTCCCAGTGGCACCGTGAATTCCCCCTCTCTGGGGACTGACTGCTGCTGTTGTAAAGTGATGTCCAGACTGGGGAGTCCCCTTCTCCCTGCTCCCACCTGCCAGGATGCAGGAAGTGGGGAGCAAGGCCTGTCACCCCAAGGGCACTTCCCAGGAGCTGAGGGCTCCAGGAGCCTTCCCCCAAGGAAGGGGCTGGATCTAGGACTGACCCAGCTCATGGGACCAGTGGCTCAGGATGACTCCCAGCCTCACTGCTTCTGCCACTCAGGGTCTGGCAGGGAGAGAACAAGCTCCAATGATCCACAGCAGGCCTGTGCATGGAGTTGGTGAGCAGTATGGGGAGCCAGGCAGCCATTTTCCAACTCACTCTCAGGTGAGTTGTATGTCCATTTAATGGCATGGTCTCTGAGAAACATTAAATATCGCTCAGTGCTGAGAATTAACCTGACAACCAGCCTACAGAGAAGTGGCCACTCGGTTTGCCCAGCAGTTTTCCTCATTTTAGATTTTGTCAGGAGTCCCTGGAAATCAGTGGGGAAACTCCCATTGAATGCCACAGGCGTTGTATCCACCTTGTGCATCTCTGCAAGTGTTGCTTGTGATATTTCTGTTTGTCTCAAAAGTTCTTTTCTTTGCAGTGTGATGTCTTGGATCAGAATTTGTTGAATTTCCTCCCAGAACAAGAACATTCAGAAATTTATAAGATGTTATCTTCTTGTATGCTTATGACAGATTCTGCCTCACCGGATTACCTAAAAAGTAAGTTTTATTTTATCTTCTCTAGTAAATGAAAAAGCATGGGCAGGATAAAAATTTTCTCTCAGAAAGAATTTTTTATGTGATGTGCAATAAAAAAATTAGGTTCATAGCCTTTTAAAAAGACCTTGCCACCTGGAATGACCTTTTGGTTCTATTTTTAAATGAAACTCATTGCCTTTATTTTACTGGGCTAAGACTACTTGCAGTTATGTTAATTATTAAATATCATATCTTTTGAGACAGCTAAGGAAAATAGGTTAGCCCATGGAAAGTGAAAGTTCGCATGAGACAAATCACATCTTAATTGATATTTCAGCCTGTTCAAATGAGATGCTGTTCAGAGATATGCTAATGTTGCATACCTTTGTTTTGCCTTATAGTTGAAACATATTTCTAAAGTAATTGTAATTCCTTTTCAATTGGAATTTTTTTTTTCTTAAAAATGTTTTTACTGCCTCATCCTTATTCACTCTGGGAGGTAAGATGTAGGAAACCAGAAAACACACAATAATGTAAGATGTACAGCTGCTTAATCTACTGTATTGTACGAAACCTACAGCTGATAGCTAATACACTGAAGTTAATGTAATAGATATTTTGAGGTAATTAGGTGTCGTTTTCCAACACAAGATGTAGAACAGCTGTGAGTTGTGAAAAGCCTAAATAGAAAAAAAGCAGTAAGTGAAGGATCCAGTTCTCTCTTTTGCTACACTGATGCTATGGCTGTGTAACTCCTGTGATGAAGGTAGTGTCAGAGAAGGGCAAGTTAATCTCCTGAGCTTCAGGCAGGCCCATGCACAGTACTGAACAACCTGCATCCCTGCAAGGCACTTCCTTGCAGAGGCTCTGATCCTGCAATGTATAGCACATTGGTGTTTAGGACTCCTGAGTGGTAACAAGCTGCTCTTGTGCTGCCAGTTGCAAGATTGGGGTTGGAAGACACCATTGGTTGTGTTTAGCTTAATTAGTATATTTATTTCTTCTTCTTCTTCTTTTAACAATCCAGCTGACAATGAACTAGAGTTTTATTGTCATCTTCTGAGAGGAAGTTTGAACCCAAAGGAATTTCCAACATATGAATACATAAAATTTGTAGGAAATTTTCGGTCTTACAGCAATGGTAAGCTTTAATTGTTGTATAAATGTTACTGTAGCTGTGTAAAATAAAATATAAGTATTGCTCCATTGAACAAGACAGGCCTTTAACTGAAAGAACTATTTTTAATATTGGGGTAAATTTTGCTTCACACGGATCTCATGGCTGAGTTGCAATAGCTGGATGAATACATGTGACGATTGAAACTGTGTTAGTTGCTATTGTTATTGCCCTTCACTTGCAGTAATCCTGGTGTCTGGGTAAGTTCACAAATAATGACGGGTTTAGAGGAGGATTTGTTTGTGCTCGCTAAGACTGTGTGCTAAGACCCCACCTATTAGCAAAATAATAAGCTTGCTACCTAGCATCTGCTGGTTTGCATTAAGCACAGAATCTGTGCCAGAACTGATAATCTGCCAAACTCGCCCTCTCACCCTTCTCTGCAAAACCTTGGAGAAAGGAGGCGGTGCCACGTGGCATCAGAATAGCTGAGGATACTGCCATCTATCCACTGCCCTCCTCAGCTGCCATTTTATATTCCTCTTGAGCACTGCAGAACCCAACACTCTCCAAAAAAAGGAAAAAAGTACAGTCAGCATAGTTGCTAATGCACCACAGTCAGTCTAGGGAAACCATCTTTCAAGGGATGAAGAGCAGATTTCCACCTTACCCATTCCCTAACAAAGAGATTGCTGCAAGGCCATTAGTATCAGAAATTAAATACTCTTTTATTGCTTTCCCTTCTCTTGCCTGCCCAAGTTTGCTTTAGTTACTTGCCTGACTGAACTCCAGAGTGGCATGTCCAGCGTTGCTGGTATTGTTCCAAATAGGTCATCCTCTGCAAAAAAATTCCCCACCGTGCTTTCCAAAAACTGCACGCCACACTGCGAAAAAAATGTCCCTGTCCCCATTTAACTTTCTGCTCTTGCTCCACATGACTAGAATAGAAACCTACGTGCAGGATGGAGATATGTGTTTCTTGTTTTGTGCCATCTGATTCGAGGCTCTATTTGTATAAAAAATTGTAACTGCCTGTATGCTTTCTAGTTTGAATGAAGTGAAATGCGCCTGCCTGACAGACGCACACAGCAAGCTGTTCTGTTTTCTAGAGCAGAAACCAGATTTCAGGTGCTGACTCATAAGGATACATTTTTACCAGGGGAATTTCTGATCCATTTTCTTCAAGGATTTTTAGCCTTTTATTTTGGCATGACCTTAATATTGCCCCCTTACCCGTTAGGATTTCATATCCCAACATTTGTATAGTGGCTTTTTCTCAGAAGAAAGATAAAACTTGCAATATAGATATCTTCCCTAGCTTAATGCATATAAACTAAATGGGAACATAATGATTTCAGAAGGCACCAAATCATTTTCCAAAGATCCCATCTTCTAGCTTTCAAATAAGATATGTGCTTTCTGGCTCAAATTCTTTTTTTCCCCATTGTGCCACTTTCTCTAAAACTTCCATTTTTTTTGTCTCTTCCACTTTCTTTCCATCTCTGCTGCAGCCTGACTCTCCAGCTGACAGGGAGGGGACAGCCCTCACCCTGGCTCTGTGAGATGGTGCCTTCTGGCTCCCTTGCCATCTGACTTTAGTTTTGCCAGTTCAATGCAGAGCGTGATGAAAATACTTGCTTCACCAGTGTGTCCGCAGCACTGCTCCCCCTAGACTGGGAGTTGCCCCTGTGGCTGCCTCTGTGTTGTCCCCCTCTTAGCTCCTAATCCAGCCACAAAACCACCTCTCAGCAAAGGTGGAAGCAAGGGCACCAGACTCGTGATGTAGCAGCAGCAAACTCTCTTTGCTTGGGAGCTGATAACCCTGGGCCAAGGACAGAGCGAGCAGCCGGAGGAGGGTGCAAACCTCCGAGGCAGTTGTCAGTGGATCCACTGGGCTCCTTGCATCAGCCAGATGCACCTGAGCAAGACATGGAAGACGTCAGCTCAAGCGAGCACCGTATGAACGCAGCCCCAGGGCTGGAGGCAAGCACCTCTTTTGATACAGGGGCTTTGGCACAGGAACCTGTGGTACAGGCACCTTTGAGCATCTGGTGGGTGCACTGGTGGGCTGGGTTCCTACCCCTGCTTGGCCCACACACACCCCAGGATGCCCCACTATCAGGCACTATCTCACCCAGCCCATGCACCTCAGGGGTGTCACCTGCTGGACCTGACAGAGATTGCCCTCTTCTTCCTCCTGTTAAATAAATACCCATTCTCCAGTCATCCCTCCTCCTGCTGTGAACCAAGTGGGTGAGAAAGACAGTGGTGGGAAGGGTGGTAGGAGAGAGACATATCACTCAGGGCAGCACTCATCCTTTGTGCACAGGATCAGCTGGCCCCAAATCCTGCTTTTTGGAGGTGTTTGTGAAGGAAGGAGGCTAAGCTAAAGATAAGAAAAGAGTTAGCTGGGGGAGAATGAAGGAAATTGCAAATTAAGATTAATTAGCAGGAGACATTCCTTATGAATGTATTCAAGAATGTTTTTCCCTATAGCTTTTCAGAGCAGTGGAAGTGTGAGCATGTTTTTACACATGGGAGACTGATACAGAATGTTCTCTAAACACAAATCTCTGCTGTTCCTTTTTAGCCGCCCAATGCCAAATCCCGCCTTTGTTTTCTCAATGGTTTGCTGAGCATACTCTGAGTCCACCCTGCTTGCATGTTCCTGCTGCAGGGACACCAGAGCCTCTGTGGCCAGGGACGTTCTTTTATCCCTGGGCAGGCTGTATCCCATCAGGATACTTAGCTATTCCATTGTCATTAATGTCGGGTCGTGGCAGTAACAGCCCTAGCAAATCTTTCACCTTTCCTTCTCGCTTAACCTTTGCTAATGTTTTTAAGAACTGTAGGTCCTCTTTTGCCCTCTTTAACAGAAATGTCACTAGCTTTATTCCACTTCCACACAACCTTTTATGTAACCTCCCTTGAATTATCATCTTCTTAGGCTCATTATATTATTGTTCATTGCTCATATAGTGGTGGTGCTTGGGGGAAGGGGGTCATGCTCATGGGTTCCCAGTCACCTTTCCCCCTCCTTCCTCCCTCATACCTTCTCCTTTAATCGCATTGTGACTTATGGCTGAGAACATCATATAGGGATGGGTTTGAATGGATTAATTTGAAGGACTGCGGCTTAGAAAGCCAGTTAGGGGCTTAGCTGCTCTCACTAACTTTAATGGGAGCTCTGGGGCTTTAAAGGCCATTGTACTGAGATGCCAAAGATAATTTTTTTCATGCTGAACTAGAACAAATACCTGATATCTGCCAAGGTGACTTGTTACCAGAATTGCTGTCAGGGAGCCAGAGCACACACAGCCTAGATCGAACTCATGCTACTCCCACAGAGGAGCAGTCACTGGCATCTTCCCTGATCCTGGAAGAACCAGAGACATGCATGTAGAGACCCTAGAAATTGCCCAGGAAAGTTCACATAGTTCACAGCATGTTTTCAGTCTTTCAGAAGATCACTGTTCCCAGAGCTCCAGGGCTCAGCTGTAGCTGGGGGCTTAGAGGAGCTGCACAGTCCAGTGCCAGGGTTAGCAAGAGGGTCAACACTTGGCCTAGTCCTGGGGAAGCTGTACTCTGTAACCCCTGCTGCAGAACACCAGGGATGTGACACGAGCTGCCTGCACGAGTGAATCCCCCTTGAATTAGCTGTGCCCAAGCGAGAGCAGCCAACCAACGAAACAGCAATGCGAGCTGAGCAGAGTGACTGCATGAGTCACTGGCTGTGCTAAATCAAATACAAGAGAGTGGATTTTCCATTTGGGAGGATTATATAATCATCATTAATTAAGCTTCAATGAGAAAAGCAGGACTGTAACCTGATGTGAAGATTCAGTAGTCCCTTGAGAAGAGAGGAGGTGGCCCATGGGCCAGTGGAGTTCCTTCTTGCTTCTGTGCTTGCTCTCAGATCATAGGGGTTGCTTTTGTTTTATTTGCAGTCAGAAACTCTTTCCAATATTTTTATATATTTCAGGTACTGGTTCTGTAGCCTACATTTTAACAAGAGACATGAATGTATGCAAACATCTGAGGAGCCAAGTGCCATCACTGTACCTATTGACTAGTAGTACCTGATAAGGGAGAGAGTCATATCAGCATCACCAATGAATAATGCAGTGGCTCATATCCAGTTTTGCCTGAGGGCTGAGGGGGAAGGCAAGTAAAAAAGATAACCCTCCCCAAAAATCCAAGGAAATGCTTAGCTTCCAGTATAAGATGTCAAATTTAGTGAGAATAAATTTTACAAAGCCGCTTAATAGCTTACTCTGATAAGAAATGATAAGACGGGCTGGATTTATCCCTCCTGTGAAAATTGTTTATACGTTTGTAAACAGACAAAGATCTTTCATAATTATATATCCAAATATTGGCATTAGTATCCTGTTTCTGATGTGACATACTTGCTTCAAAACTCCTGAAAGGGACAAAGATGGAGTCCTTCCTTTCACAGAGTTCACTAATACAAAAAAGGACCACCAGCATCTTTAAAGTGATGGATCTGTCCTTTTGTCCAAAATGCTTGAAGTTTTTCTCTTGAAGGAGGAGATAACCATTATGTAAAAAAGGTTCCTAATAAGTAATATAATTAAATATTATAGTGGAATTTAAAATTGTGCATTTTTGTTCCCAGTTACATGGAAACTCAAGAAGTAACTGGTACTGAATGCTAATAATAGCAGATACTCTACTGTGAGCTGATATATCTCTCAGATATAAGAATAAACATGAAGATAATTATTATGCTGAGGAGAAAAAAAATCTTGTAATTCCCAGAACAATTAATTCAATCTGAATTCCTTTTTAAAAGAAATAAACAGATTTATACAGGAGATACATTGATCTTGAACCCTCAAAGTATGTGCAGAAACATCTAAAACAAGAATAGCTCAATCTAAAATGAATCTTTTGATCAGAACCGACAGCTGCATATTTGCTATTAATGATATCATAGAAGCTGCAACTAACAATATGCAGCACTCATGCTGGAGTCTCTATGGGTATTTAAGAAAAAGACACCAAACCTGTCCTAAAGAATTTACTTGGGATTCATATCAACACACGATGGCAAGGGGAGAAACAGGAGGAGGAAAGTGGAGAGAGGAGATCAAAGTAGACAGGTGATGTATGGACACTGTCACTGTTATTCATCCAAAGCTACTGTGGGCAATCTGGCTTGCCACCAGCACTTTAGATTTCTTCATTATATATATTAATTGATGGATATTCTGTTTATATGTGGTCTGAATTTATTTATATGAAACGATCTTGATTTCTGGTCTGTTTGGCTTGTATTTTTTGAAATCGCTGTTGAGTTTGTTTGATAGTCACTAAAACTGGTTCTTTAAAGATTAACATCTACTGACAAAATAGGAAGGAGGGATTTCTTCTTTCAAATGGCATAAATGGGAGGCTTGCTATCTTAGGAAGATTATGTTTTACACATTCTATGTTAAAATAAGATGACCAAGCAACTGACTGCTGCACCATTATTAACTGAATAAAGTGGCATGTGGGGTTTTCTAAACATGTTTTCATTCATTTCAGGTGGCATGATTTGTATCCCTAAGGATAAAAATCTTTTTGTCTGTGCTAGTTAAGGGTTTGGTTCCTTGCATATATTATTTATTTTTAACATTCTGTCCTCAGTGTCCTGGTCTTTAAAAACAAAACAGCAACAATTAAAAACAAATTATATAGGCATATCAGCTTCTTTCTATCTTACGAGATATTTGTGGGTATTTAATACTTCTATGAAAGATTCTGTGGTAGCTCTAGGAGCAGCGGGTGTGATAGGTAACGGCAAAAACTATTAAAATTCATGCTAAGGAACATCAGCTAACTGATATATTTGAGACAACTGTTTCACCTTTTTGATAATGTATTTAGCTTTGTCACACTACCTACTAATTCCCTACTCAAGATATTTTCTCCAGATCATTTAACTGTGAAACACATATGCCCTCATTTACCCAAGGCAACCTGTTTATAGCCAGTTTAACATCTTCATCAGGCATCCTCTGACGGAAGCACTCCAAGCCCTGTACTGGACTTAAAAATGTTAATATCATCATAGTCTCAGGCTTGATCCTGTATTTTTCACTCCACTCTTTTTCTGTGGTGCTCTCAGAAAGTTCGCTACTGAACTTCGCTACCTCAAGATGTTGTGTTTCTTTTAAAGAGACTTGGAGAATTATAAAGTATGATTTTTCAGAAGGCATGCTTAAAAGGTTTATATTTTTATTATGATATTATTCTATTATTGTTAGTTATCAATATATTATTGTTATTATAATATTCATTACTAATATTTTATTATTATTAGGATTATAATTTTTTAATTATTGCAATTATCTCTTTTTTTAACTACACTTCAAAACTTATCAACAAAAAAAAGTTGAAATTTGCTGACCAGCTGCAAAAGCAGAGCAAAACAGGCTGTGCAGATAGAGCTGAGGAAAGAACAGATACAAAAAAAATAATCAGAAGCAAACATGAATGGATTTTTTTCTTTCGGTTATTGTAGTTGTCATTTTCAGATGGAGATGTACTTTGCAAGGTGGTGGCTACCTGCCTGCATCATTGAGGCTTTTAATGCTCTGGGCTTTGTCAAAGGCAGCTGAGTATGGAGATGGCACAGGAGCTGTTCAAACACAGGATGACTTCCAACCAGGCCAGCTCTGTCTCATCTCCTTGGGCTTATTAATTCACTGCTGCTTAAGTTCACCGTTCTCAAAAGTTGTGATGAAATCCCAAATTCACTACCTAGCTGTCCTACACAATAATTATTGCCCTTTTAGTACTACATTTACCTGTTGGAAATACAATCCTGTTTTTTAAATGCCACAGTCAAGGATGTATTCTGCTTGTCTCAGGCTCCTGGCTGTTTACATGGAAAAGCTGACATTAAAAATTATCTGCTCTCTTTGGTGACTTAGTTTCCACTCAGTCTCCGCTTTCTCCTACAGCTGGTGTCATTTGCAAGCCCATGGTTTGCTAACTAGTTTAACTTATCATACCTGTGCTTCAGAGGCTGAATGTGCTTATCTTATTTTCATATTTAAGAGCCCAGCCTGCAAGCATTTGGTACTGAACTTGGCTGTTACAGAGAGAAACAGCCCCCTTGACTTCAGATGGGACAACATCCTACATAGTAAGCTCGGAAGTAACTTTTTACAATGCCCATAGTGTGGGTTTATAGCATTCCCATTTATTATTAAAGAGGACTGACTACAGAAATGAACAGACTTGCACAAAATGATAATATCAGAGATGGACCAATAGCTCTTTACTCAGGCTTCTCCTGTTTCCTGGAGCTCCTAACTCTTCCTCTTGTATTAATAATCCCATAGAAATCCACATATATACACATAACCCCAGGATCAAAATGGGAATACATATTCCTAGGAAGTCCCCAGAGTAAGTGTGCTTTGCTGGTGAAAAGAGGAGAATTTTGCCCATATTTTTTATCTCAATATCCAGTCAGCCATGCCCTCCAGACTCAACTACAAGAGAGGGCTATAATCTCTGTGGATGTTCACATCTGTGCTGTCTTCTCAGATAAGGAATCTTTCTTTCCCTTTTTGGTGCACTATATGTTGTGCACACAGTGGCCTAAATCAGTTAATCATAGGTGTGAATTCCCCTTAGAGTACTTATTTTTCCATCTCCTACCCTGTTATCCTTGTTACCAGTAATGTATCAATATTCCAAGGCTTTTAATAGGTTGAACTGGGTTCCAAAAACAAGTGTGATAAATTGAGACTTCTTCCATCTCTGTAGTTTATGCTAGTGAACTAAAGCCCAGTGCAGAAGCACTCCAGGATAAAAATTGCTATTTATATCCTCCCCAGATAGCTACAAAACTCTTCAGTTTCACAGTAATGCTTTGTCCTGTGCAGAAGAGACAAACTGTAGGAAACTTCATAAAGTTGGATAAAGGGGCCTAATAGTAAGGAAAGATAATTTCATATTAGCATTAATTCCTATTAGCATTAGATTAACTTACATTGGTGAACTCTGGTTGCTAGATAGGACCTTCTCTGCCCCTATGGGAGATAGCTGGCTGAGCAGGGCAAGAGCCATTTCCCACTGCAGCTTGGCACGCAGTTTTCTTTCACAGCTGTGGGAGTGGGATTACCATCTCTAAACAGCTTGAACTTGGAGGAAGAATTTGCTTTATGTCATTCTAACATGGGACTGTGGGCTGGCTTAAGGCAACACATTCTTTTGGCAGCACTTCTCTGTGGCAGGAGGTGCTAGTGGGCTCTCAAAGCAACACAAGAGCCATGCAATCATGAAATACACAAATAAAAAAACATACACAAAGTGTGTAGCCACATCACGTCCACCTTTTCCTTCCACCCATCGTCTCAGGAGACAGCAGGCCACCTGCAGACTTGCCAAATATGCCCATCTCTGGAAGCCATGCACAGGGTCCCTTTTCGTCTTCTTTAAAACAAGTAGAACTTGAGCACACTGGGGACAGTTCTTCTTAGATGCAGGAGGGGAAGGCACTCTTCAGCAGCCAAGAATCACAAGCAGCCTCTTACTAGCTCGATGAAGCCTTGCTGGCTGTGGGCCCTAGTGTTTTGCCACTGATGACTTGATGAACTCTCTTCAGCTACCTCCCTTGCCAGTGCATTTTTTCACTGCCTTGTGGAAGTTATGGTGCTAGGCATGCTGCAGCATATATTTTTTTCTTGTGAGTGGTGAAAAAGAGCAATTGGATGCATGGGGTTTCTTTCCAGAAAACTGCTTTGTGCTCTGTAATAAGGTTTGGCCTTATTTTTATCAGGATTAACCTGTAAAATTCATACTTGAAGTTAAGCTCTGATGTCTTTCTGACTAACATGACTGACTTGGATTTAAATATATGCATATCAGCTTTAAAAGCTTTTAGAACACTTCTCTGAATAAAAACAGTATTAGTAGGCTTCAAGCGTGCAAAATATTCAGGGAGAGAAAATCTTATATGAGGCATGATTCCGGGTCCCATTTTTTCCCCTACCTAGTGCCTAACTCCACTTGCAATGGCTTTGACGAGGCTGTCCCGAGGGCTTACAGAACGTCCCTGGGAAAGCAGATCTGCTTCGTTGCGACTGTTCGTTTGGCAACGCCTCAGTTTTTAAAGGTAAGTCCGTGCCCTCGGTCCCATTCGTTTCAGAGCTTCTCGTAACACTTTCAGATGAGGTGACATAGAAGGTTCTTAGTTTTGCTAATTGAATGGATTACAGATATCACATTTCATGCATAAAAATCCAGTGAAGCGGATTATCAGTGCAAGCCAGGATCTGCGGAAGCAGTGTCACTTCTGCCCCTATCACATGGTAAATGGAAACCCTCCTTGCATTAGGAATTACAAAGTCACTTTGAAGTTGGCTTCTTCCTTGCTGCTTTCTGTTCCTGCAATGGGACAACGTACAGGTGGCCACCAACACTTTAATTTGTGCCCTCAGTGTCTTTGGTTGACTGCTGCTAGTTTCCCTCCTCCCAAATCCTGGTAGTAAGATACATGATTGTGGTTATAAGGATAGACAATCCAACCTTGTGCCTGACACTGCTGTTCCCTAATTAACAGCTGTGAACTGCTGCATCAGATGCCCCATCCTCAGGGGTTAAGAGATTTTTTTTAATGTAATTTAGACCTGGCCAATATGAAATCACTGCTTCCTTGACCTGGCTCTGTTACTGCTCTGGGATTTGCAGGGCACTCTTGACTGATTCATGGCCCTGGCAGGCAAGTAGTGTCCTTTCTGGGTAAGTGAGGACACTTCCCATAAATCTTAACCACAGTAATCATAGTAAGAGTAGGGTTGGAGTTAAGGTACTCTGGGAAACCTAAAAGCAAATTCCCTTGTCTTTGGATAGCTAACACCTCAAAATAAACAGGGAAACTAAATGGGCTGCACATGGCAATGAGCTGCATGGTACTAGGGAGGAAGCAGCTGCTGAAGAGCCCAGAAAAGCTTTTAACTGCCACAAAGTCCTAAACACTCATCTCTTTGGTTCTCCTTTGGGTGACTCACTTAACCCCCAGTCCTCCTCCTCTAAAAAGAAGGTAAAAATGTTTATGTGACTGGCTAAGGAAGGCAGAATCAGCAATTTGGTTGCACACAGCAATGTTTGTACGTTGCACCTTGAATTTTAGTGTATGTTCTTGGCATCAACATGGATTTTGACCTAAATTGGAAAGAGGGGGAGAGAGGAATTTAAAGTGTTCATGAAGCCTTTTGCCTCTGCACAGCCAGAGACTTTAAACAACTTTGTCAGCATTGATATGTATGAAAGAAATGCTTGATGACAGTGCACCTCAACTTGTCCTCTGGTCCCAGGAGGGTTTAAAACATTAGTGGTCTGAAAGTCTTCTCTCCCCAAGAAGGACAGCAGAGAGAGAAGCATCAATGGAGATGATGGGAGAGTGTCACTGAGCCCACAGCACAGGGGGATGTGCCATCAGGGAGCTGGAGAATAGCAGCATTGGGAGCTAGTGGAGAGGCTGTCCTTATCAGCGATGATGGAGACCTTCCTGCAGGAGAGACATGAAGGACACAGTAACCCTGGATGCCACCAAATCTGGAGCGCTGATGCTGGCAAGACCCAGCCCAGTTGCCCCTCCTCTAGTGGGAGAGGAGAGGTTGGCAGAGAAGAGCCATGACCAGGAGGCAAGTTGGCCGTGGGACATGCAACCAGCCCTGGCCCATGCACAGATGTGCACCATAGTGCCATCCTTCCCTCTGCTTCCCACCTCCCCACAACAAATAATCACTGCCTCCTGATCCTCATCCCTCTGGGGATGTCCTGCCTCACAGACAGCCCTGTACCCTGCCTCCTGTAATTCGCTCATTAGTTATCAGTCTTGTGAGCACTGAGGGGTGCTGTGAGTCTTCAGAGCCAGCTTCTTCGCTGCAGCAGTGAAGTACAATGCAAAACTGCTGCCTTTTACCTGCCTGACAGGTCCCATGCAGGCTGGCTGCATGGAAAGGCATTTACTCCTCTGCAGCTATTGAGTGAGGAGAGTATTCCCCTTTCTCAAAGAGAGCTTGGGGGGCAGATGTCCAAAAGGACCAGGCAAGCGTGGTGGGTATCTTTAGTAACATAAGGAGGGTGAAGCAAGACATGACAAACCCTAGTGGGATCAGGCATAGGCTGGATGCTGGAAAAGGGCATTGCTCCTTGGGGCTGTGGACAGCACAGGCATTACACCGCAGGCACTGCTTCAAAGCCATAAAAGTTTTGGCACGCTGAGGCAGTGTCTCAGCTCTTAAGTTCATGTGCATCACCAGTTCTTCTCCCCAGCTCCTGCAAAAATGTTGGCATTGCTAAATACAATAGATCCCTCTCTGGAATTGCCAGAAAATAGGTGAATCCTCTGTTTTCTCCTTTTATGCACCATGTATTTATAGCTAACAAAAGCTAGATGAAGCAGAGGGGTGAAGCTGCAACTCTCAATAAGTCAGTTTTCTCCATTGGACAGGAGATGTGCATTGTGGAAGAACATCTAGAGGAATTCACATCAAGACACAGTCTGGAGTGGAAATTTTTATTCCTGGATCACAGGTTGGTAACAAGAAAAGCTGTTTGTGTTTGGTGCTTGTGTACTGCTATTTCGTAAGTACAATTATCTCAAATAGTGTTCCATTTCACATCTAAATCTCCTGAACAGGAGGGCTGCACTGAAATTCCTGCAGAAGTTTACTATTTTTCATTTTTTTTTGCATTTCTTTTTAATGGGCTTTTAAAACAAAAGTACTCCGTTTGTCAGGCCAAATTTCTGATTAGCTTGTTCTTCTTTCCTTTAAAATTACCAACAGACCAAAGTCGGTCACATTGCAAAATTATCTAATTATTATACAGCTGCAGAAATCCTTCTTTCCAAATCCAGTCATTGATTGTGTGTGTGCAATTCCCACCGAGTTATGGAGTGAAAGTCTGTGCTGGCCTGAGGCATCTGTGCTGGCAAAGGTACAAAGCAAGTGCTTCAACACACCACAGATGAGCTCTCCAGGCACCCAGAGGGAAGCAGCACAGACAATTTCCCCTCCTATCCCCCTAGTCCCAGCAAATGATGGTTTCCTTTCACCTCGCTATGCATTTTCCCCTGCAAGGACTGCAGGAGCTGCCGCAGAGCCCCTGACCAAGGAACAGCCAGGGAGTGGCTCCTCACCACAGCTTCCTGTGTGAAGGTCCCTGAGAAGCTAAATTGCTTTCCATAGCCACATTTTCCCTGGAAAAAAGGGGTTGTCATAGCCTTGTCCTGGTTGGATGGTGCTGCCGGTACTGCTCTGCTCAGCTGGGCATCCCAGGCACAAGGTGGGGGAAAGTCAGGATCCAGTCCCCTAGGATGAACAACTGTACACCAATGAGTGAAAGCAGATCTGGGCTTTTTGCATATCCATGTCAACATGCAGAACTGCTTGTTTTATGGTTTATGAACTCACTTATGTTGTGCCTAACCACAGAGCACCGCCAATTATAGGATACTTGCCTTTTGAAGTGCTGGGTACTTCTGGCTATGACTATTACCACATAGATGACCTGGAGCTGCTAGCAAGGTGCCATGAACACTGTAAGTATCTCATAACCCAGGTTCCTGGGAAGTCACTGGGACACCTCTTTTCAGTGGAATGTTGTTGCAGTTAAACTTGGAAGGGGAAGTTTGACTCTTGCCTCAGCCTGTGTACCTTAGAAGAGTTGTAGCAGGTTGGAGGCCCTGCAGCTGACTGGCATCTGGGACAAACTTACCAAGCTTTGGAAAATACAGTTTTACCTTCTGTATCCCCAAAAGTAGTCAACAAGACTAACTGAATGGATAAAATGTGCTAGATTAGATCCCCGTTAGTGAAGACTATGCATGAATAGTTCAAGAAATTCTTGTAGATTATTTCCCCACTGTGTATTTGGGATTACCTGTGATTATTTAAATAGTGTCTGTTAAAGTTTAATTGGAAAACTCTTTAAGTAAAGAAAATGAGGCAATGCTTTTCAAATATTTGCTTACAGAACTGGCTGTAGCATCTCAGCTTACCACTTCTGCCTGTTCTGGAAGTATGCTGTCAACAGTAGTTTTTATATGTTGACATTGAAAATATAGAAAGGCTAAAAATAGGGGTGCTTGGGCACCCCTTGAAATCACCAGGGAAAAAATGCAGAGGTGAATTTTTTTCGTGAATCTTTCAAACCTTCAATACATCCCTATTTACTGTAGTTTGAATTCTTGTTGGTCTAAAAACTTCCTTTCAGTTCTTTTGTTGTCTTTGCACAGTGTTATCTCTTATGCTCACTTCATTCTGAGTCCATCAGCACACAATACTCATCTTTACAAGCATTTTTATCCCGTATTTTCTGCTTTAGAACTTAAGATGATCACTCTTAGAAATTAATCCCAGATGCCTAATTAAGCAGTATGTGATCAGTACATAAAGCAGGGTAAGGTCTCTGTTTAAATTGTAGCAGACACTAATGCATTAGTGTCCAAACTTAAGGTTAATAGTACTGTGTAGGAATGTACCATTTAAAGTGTCAGAAGAAGATACCTGCTCATCTTTGTGATTTTTGCTCTATCATAAGGCTGAGGGAGCACTTACTCAAAATTGGTGCTTAGACTCCTGTCTGCCTTGGGAATTGACGGGGAGACACAGATATTTTTGTGACTTTTATGCACATTTCGTGACATTTTCACATGGGAAATTGTGTTACAAGCTGCATATGTTTTCTGCTGACAGTGATGCAGTTCGGCAAGGGGAAGTCGTGCTGCTATCGGTTTCTGACCAAAGGACAGCAGTGGATCTGGCTCCAGACCCATTACTATATCACCTACCACCAGTGGAACTCCAAGCCAGAGTTTATTGTGTGCACACACATGGTGGTAAGGTATGAAAAATAATATCAACCAGCAGGGACATAAAGGACAGTAAGATAAGGGCATCCTCATGTCTGCCAACATATTCTCCTAAAAACATAATGTCTTTTAAATAAGAAAAAGTTAAGCCTGAATTCTCTGAAGGAAATAACATTAATTATAGAAAAATTTTCAGACTATATCTTAGTATATAAAATAGAGAATAGACAGATCCCTTAAATATTCACTTCCTCTAATCCTTATGTTTTTTTTAAAGAGCTGTGTGGAAGCTTTCCAGTGAAGTCATAAAGAAGTTATAGGATGTGAACTTGACCTTTATATATTCTTCCTTAATATGCTTCTTGACTTCAAGAAGATAGGAATAGACCAAAACCTGAAAATTAAAACAGTTTCTCAAATGTTATTCAGTAGCATTTGACTTAAATGATTTTTCAGCTGTTCATTTAACCTGTAAAACGGTACAGTAATTTAATGTTCCTCTACTTTCTTAAAGCACATTTAATGAAACATAAGAATTCCATGTTGACACATAGAATTATATTTTCCATTCAGTTATGCAGATGTTCGGGTGGAGAGGAGACAGGAGATGGGCTTGGAAGAAGTGTCCTCAGAGGTTGTGTCTTCAGCACTTAAGGTACAACGAGAAAAGCTTTTTTTCATGAATTTATGTAGTAATCACAACTCGTTCCTATGTTAATGTCACCGGAGACCCCAGCATTGTCTTTCTGGGTGGATTCACTCAACTTCAGAATTCATTGCTCACTTGAATAATTTTAACGCAAATTGGGTTATGAGTATGAAAGGATAAGCCTGGAGATCAGTAACAGCCAGAAATAAAGTAGAACATGGGCAGGGGCAGTGTGAGATATCTCCACTTTTCCTTGGCAAAGTACTACAGTTTAAAGATGAATTTGGACAAGTTCTGGCAATCAGCCCTCTTGGCTATATCTCAGTGATCTGATGAGGGAACACAGCAAAGCTCCTCCTCAATGCATGGCTGAGTGTCTCACAGAGGTTGCAGTTGCTGTCACATCCAACTGAACACGAAAGATTCAGAAAAACATCTGAAGGCACAAAATGAGTATGGCATAGCTTGCTATTTTTTTCTAACTCAGTGACAGTTGTTTGTAAAATGCATTACTTAGATGCTATTTGGAAGGGACATTGATGCCTGTGTCCAGGTCTTCTGCTGGTCTAACTGGGATTAGTTCTGCTCAAGTCATTTTAGGCCTGCCAAAGAACTGGTGTGCAACCATTACTAAATGCATTTCAAAATGCTTTAACCTTGACAGATGCAATAGCTATTCCCTTTTTCTGGTTTGTTTTAGGACAATGGTGCCAGCTTGGATCCTGAACAGCACTTTAATGCACTTGATGTTGGTGCCTCAATCCTCAGCGCCAGTCGGACACCCTCAGTATCATCTAGAAGCTCACCAAAATCTTCCCACACACCCAAGTCAGACCCAGCATGTGAGTGGCATTCCTGGGTTACTGCATTATTTTTAATTTAGCCAAGTTACAGAATGTGTGCCTGTATACCACTGCTGATAATTTAACAGTTATTTATGAGTTATCAATGATATGTACTGACAATGAAGTGCATAATCTGAAATGGTAACATAAAAGAGGGAAGGTTGTAGTGCAGCCACCTAAGTGCTGGGAAATGAGTAGTGGGATTAGCAGTGAGACCTGCTGCTTCAATCTGTTACAAAAATGAGGACTTCTGTCTTCAGATTTGAGGGCATCAGTATGAACAATATGAGACCTCTCTAGACTTACATGAGTAATAACGGCCTGTGGGTGATTCTTTTCTGGCCAAGATTCAGGATGCTTCAGTGTTGACTTGGGTATACTCTTTCTGCTCCCTGGTCTGAAAGAAAAGCCAATGAGCTAACCTAAATTTGCAGTTATTTGGCCCATATAAAGGAAGTTCCAGCTGTTTTAGAACAGTTCCTGGGTCCTTTTGCTCTGTTCGTTGGAGCACAAAATCATAATCTGTCTCATTTACTTTTATCTTTGCCGAGACCCTCCTTATCAGTTTAATTTTACTGCCATTTAAGTCAACAAGAACAGCCTTGACTCCCACTGAAATTTAGTGAGGCTGTAATAATTTCTACCTAGGTCTTGTCATAATAACCACTTCAAAGAGGGTTGATTTCCAGCGTGTGAGAACTCACCAGTACTTTTCTTGCAGCTACACCAACAAAGCTGATTGCAGAGTCTAACACTCCCTTGCCAAGAACACCAAGCGCGCAGCAGGATCTATCTCTGCATAGACTCAGTCAGCCTACTGCTCTTCAGGTAACTTCCCAAGGAATGATAGAAATAGGCAGAGGGTATACAGCATGTGCCACATATGCAGCTTAGCAATTAAAAATTACTTACACAAAAGCCATGGCATTAGAAGAAACCTAAAATTTAAAGGAGCCAAACTTATAAATAAAGTTTTGGTTTGTTTTGTTTTTAATCTAGGTTTCTTTGCCTTCTCAGCCTCCATGTGAGCTTCTCCCACAGCAGTTGCTGCCTCAAGCAACTCTGCAAAATCAGCCTGCACCTCTGGCACAGGTTAGTTGGGGATTTGGAAGTGGAACAGGTCACTTGCTTATCTCCTGATATTTTCTCATTTTGGGGCTTTTAGGTTACCTCTCTAGGAACTAAAATCCCCAAATCCACCAGCTCTCAAACACATAAAATATTGTGGGAAAGTGATCTGAGTTGTACACTTGCGTGTTTAAACATATAACTGCGTGCAGGTGTTCAGAAGCCCAGGTGCATGTAGATTCAGGTGCACACATACATCTATTTCACAGGAGGACATAAAACAGATGGAAAAAGAGTTTTCAGCCTTGCTTTTACAGAACCAGGTCCCATCAAGATCAAAACTACAATGAGAATTAAAACTAAAAAAGACACACAGTCCTCCTAAAAACACCTATATGGCTGTGCTGATGCAGAACTAACAAGCAGTAAAGGATACGCAAGTTCAACAACACCCATTTTGTGAGTGTGCCAGTAATGGTGAGGATGGAGATAAAGTTCAAATTCCTTCAATCTATTAATCCATATCTCAAAAGTGGTTGATTGCCCAAAAAGTCACCTCAGTATTTCATTTGCAAAGGATATTGAAGCAAATTTGAGTACCATGTTCTCCACACATTGTTTTTCTCCTGTGGTGCTGCTGTGATGTTATACCCCATCATTCTCTGATGGTCCAGAGTATTCCTGGACCTAGACTGCTTCTACCACTGGCACCCTGTACTCCCTCACAAGATCCCAGAGCTTCTTCCTGTAGCATATAAAACATATAAAGTCCTGAGGATCCTGGCTTTAAAATAACAAATTCTCATTTATCTTCTATGTTTAATATTCTTTTCACGACTCCATACTAGCATGCAGCAAAGAAACAGCATGTCAATTATCTGCTCTGAGCATTCATTTTCTTTTGCAGATACTTCTCTCCGTTATTCATTAATGCACTTTCAAACATCAATTAGTTTATGTATTATAAACCTGCATGTGGATTGTTTGACTTTTTTCTACCCCTCTTTCTTCCTCATCAAAGCTCTTTGTGAAAAGAAGCCTTCCAGTCGTTTACCAAGACATTCGCTAACCTGTTTCTTCCCTGTAAAATGCTCTTACTGGCACAGCAGCTCCATTTCTTTTCCGCCAAATTGGAGCACCATCCGGTCACTGGTTAAGTCTCTTTGGGCCAGCTAAATCTTGGTGAAAAGAAGAGGGCTGATCAAGTCTGCCTACACAGGCAGCCCTCTGGCAGCCTTCTTTTCAATTGTCAGCAAAGTCACAGCAATGCTCCTGGCGAAGCTCAAAATGAAGCTTGATGTGGAGCAGGGAAATAACACCAGGACTTTGCAGCTAGGGTTGCTAATGCTCACACTCCATAGTGTTACTCCTGCAAAAAGTACCAAATCTCCACACACTTGGGTGATTTTGATAAACTATCATGAAAATTATGAGACTACTCTGTACTTCACACTTTAAAATAATTAACATGTCAGTCTGCAGCAAGATAATTCATTATTTAAAAGACAAGGTGCCTGCAGCACTAGACGAGTGAGGGACGAAACACAGGTACACATGCTTCTCACCGTGAACATTTCCTCAGCTTCCTAGGTGACCATTTCACAGCGGTTTAAACACCTCAACAGGCTCATTGCCTGTAGAAGTAGCGTGGCCAGGTGCCCCACTGCCAGCCCACAAGGAGGAGCTGCGCAGGTTGCTCCCTGATGCCTTTCTGCCTCTTGCCTTTAGCTAAGGGTGACTCATGGCAGGAGCTGAAAGGCAGCGTGCCCAGCCTGGCCACACAGAGAGCCAGCTGTCCTTGCAGCTAACATTTGACTACAGAGTGGCAGCAGTGAGGACAAACATTTTAAGTGGCCACAACTGCATCTACAGCAAGCAGCTAGCTGCTGCCTCAGGCAACATCTGCTTGAACTTTGATTAGTTTTATTTCGAGCAAAGGCTGTGATGGTTTTGTCTCCAATGAAATGCCATTTTAGCTTCTGCCTTGCTTGTGTGAATGAACAGACAGCACAGTGCTAGATGTCACCTGAATGTGAATGGTTTACTTTAAACCAAGTGCTCCCTATTAGAATATCTGTTTGTTTGCCTTTCTCATTGTCATAAATTAAAATCCCCTACAACACAGCGGATGTTGATGACTGAATAATAATTAACACTAATAATCCATTTGGGATTGAGCAGGTGTTACTCAGATGACAGAAAGAACGAACAAGTTGTTCAGTGAGCTGCAAAACTAATGAAACCCAGTTTCCCAGGGGTTGCGCCTTGCAAGGCTGGTGCATGGAGTCAGCCTTTCCGGCAGGAGGAGGGGACAAGTGGATCCCTCTCTCCCTTGCTTAGCTAAAGCTTTCATGAAGTCTGGTATTTTTGACACTATAGCAACTCTGTTGCATGTCTCTGGCAAGAAATACGGCTCATCTCCTGGGCCAGAAGGATTGAAAGAAAGTTGGAAGGTAGGCAGAAAAGAAAGATTTAAAGGAAACTGAGCTAAAAAACAAATAGGGTCTCTTTTCTTTACCCAGCTACCTATTGTCATGGAACTTGTGGGAACAGAATGTCTTTGAGGTGTCCATCTTCTTGTTCATCACATCTGAAATGAGGGACCATCCTGACAGACACTGGGGCCACAGTTCCCCTTCCCTGGCTGCAGTTCCCCAGCACCTAGAGAGAGGGAGTAACCCTGCCAGCCTGGGGTGGCACCCAATGGAGAGAAACACCTCTCCTCGGACATGGTCCAGCTGGTATCTTTGAGATGCCCATGCTGGAGGAGAGGAGTCACAGCCCAGAAGTGCCAGTCCCTTTCCCCAGCCTGTACAGCCTGTCTGGACTATCAGCAGCACGAGTGCATCAAGCCCGTTCCTATCAGAACATCTGCTGATAGGATCCCAAATGCATAGCTTTATTTCTTTTTTTTTGGTAAGAAATCACACTAAAATTACTGCTGTGGCTTTTGGTTGGTGGGTTTTTTGGGGTTTTTTTCTGCATTAACAAACCTTGATTAAACTGTTGCAATTATAGACATCTCAGAGGTTTAGTCTTCCATGTTTGACTTTATCTGGAAAGATGACACTTTTCTGTGTATTACATGCACTTTTCTGAGGATTCTGTAAACATTTGTAAATACCTAAGTGAGACGAAGAGCAACTTCATCTGATGCCAATGGCAGAGTTAAAGCTGGGCAGTGTTTTCTGTGGAACATTTTGAGTTAAGCTCTTTTAATTTATTATACAATTACAGATTCTTCCCTTAATTAGTAGAGCAGTTAATGATCTTGAGATAAATACTCTCTGGTGCAGGTCAATTGCTATTAGTGTCTCATTGTACAAAAACAGTAGAAGCTCTGTAAGCACAATGGGTCATGGCTAGAGTTATCAACAATTTGGGGGTTGGAGTGGGAAAGGGAAAAAAGCAAAAGAGAAAGTTCCTTGTCTTCTTCTGTAATGGCTTTCACTCCAGTATACCAGCTAATTGTTGTTGTTAAGTGTATTAATACAAAAAGCATGTGAAAAAGAGAACAAAAAGACCGTATAAGATGAATATGCTAAATATAAGAACCTGACCCCAAAAAGGAAGGAATAATAATTTAAAATCAACAGCAATATATTCTTGTGTGCAACTTTGCAAAGCAAATTCAAATTTAAAAGTAAGGCTTGGAAATGGATTTCGTTTCTTGTTGAAGTATAAAATGATTATAAAATTACCTGTTACAAAATTCCTTAATGTTTATCAATTGAAGAAAATCAGATTCCTTTCCCAAAGTGTCTTCAAGGAGTTTGCACATTAATGAAAAGATTGTCATCAGCAAGCCAGGCAGTTAAAATGAAGTTTTTGGCTGCAACTGTTTTTAATTCCTTTCTGATAAGTATCCTTTTAAAAAATTGTGAGCAGTCAGTCCTCACTAAAAGAGTTCATATAGAGATAATTAGATTATGAGACTTGTCTTTTTAAAAAATCCTTCTATACAGACCCAGGTTAAAGCAGCAATTAGCTGCATCTCATCTAAGCAAGTCATTGCTACATAGCATCATTCCACTCCTAAAATCAGAGTACCTGGGACTTTTCAGAAACATGGGGTCGGGCTGCAACAAGCAGCACCAGATGCCCCTTTTAGTCACTTGTCCTTATTCCCAAACATCTGAGGTTTTGCCTCAACCATTCCTTGAGTTAATACTTTATACATAGACTAGAGAGACCCTGCTATGGCTTCTCCCCTTTAACTCCAGTTAGAAGTAACGTAAACTTCCCTTTGTGAGCTTTGACTCTGTTTTTCTGCCCTGGGAGAGGACTGGGTTGCACATGATGGCACTGCTGTTTGAAGGCAAAAGCATCGTGAATCACAGCACAGGCCCAGGGCTCGTGTCCCTCCTTGGGCAGACAGTGCAAGCTGCGAGTACTCACAGGTACCTCTGGCAGCAAAGTGGGCTATGAGGGCCTCTGCCACCAGCAACTGCAGGGGCCACCTTAGCAGCCCTCATTCCCCCTATACAGGGTTGGCTGTGAAACTCACCTCCACCTTGACACCTCACAGATTGTGTGGAAAAGCTACTCTCTGCCTGGTAAATGGAAGTAAACTCTCTGAAATTCTCATTCTTTCTCTCCTAAGGGCCATTTACTTGGAGATTTCAGCTTTGCTAGAGGGAATATAAAGGTACTTTCACATATTTTACTGGTTTAAGGTGAAGTAGTTAGCTGATACAAATCTGACCTGTCACATTTAGATTTCTCTCAGTAGCCAAAAATTTCGTTTAACTGTATAGTGTTGCTATCACCAAAGTACTCCTTAATTCCCATCTTGTTTCCATTGTTGTTTTCCTATTAAAAAGCCAGAAACAGTGTAAACCAATGCACCGTGGAGCAGAAAGGTTCCAGCAGCATGCATCAGTTCACCAACAAGCACAGAGCCAGTGGAACAACTACAGGAACAGGGCACCATTTTCAAGTCACATCAAAATTATTATATTTCTTTTGCCTGGACACTCCCAGCATCACATGTTTTCAGATAGATTTTGGATGTCTTGATTACAGAAAAGCTTACAGATTTTTTGAAGTTGTATTTTTTTATTTTTTCAAAGACTGTTTTTTTTCTTTTGGAATATGAGCTCATGCAAAGCAATTATTCCAAAGCCTCTTAAGGTTATAATTAACTTTGGTGAACTTTGAGTTATACCTGAAAACACCAAATAAAATAGGAATTTATTGCTGTGTTAGTCCCCTCCACAGTTCTTGAATAATTCCAGTTTGTGCCAGGTATTGCTGCTATTGGGAGTTGCACTTCCTTCTTGACCTTGATTAGTGATCTCTATTTTATACTATTACTTAGAACAGCCTTTCTCCCACTGAGCTGAGCTATTCATTTTACATCACATATAAAAATAACTTAATGAGTATTTCTTGTAGCTTGAGTACTACTCAGCTGTACAAATGTAGAAAATGCTTATTGTGGTCTGTTATGTGATGCCTTACTAAGTCATCAACAGAATAAACCACTGAAGAACTACTATTTCTTTGCAGAAAAAGAAAAGCATTAGTGAAACACATCTGGAATAAACAGTTTTGCCAAACTAAGGGCTCTAGACTACAAGCTAATAAAAATAATGCACTAACTGGCCATCCAATTAAGATGCTCTTGATATTTTAAAGTAGCATACTCTCAAAAGCAGTTCTTGTAACAGAACAGAGTCAGTTGTAAGCAGATCATTCTAACTGAGGCAATATAATATATGTGCATAAAATTGAAAATAGACAAGATTTATCTCTGCCTAGATGTTAGTATATCACAAACATTTTTTTTATTCTGTGGCTGTGCTTTACAATCAAGAAACCAATACCTTCATAGAGAACAGTGTTCTGTTGAGGCCTGTTTGTGTTATAATGACTGATTTTTTCCCCCTTTTTTTTCTTTCAGTTCTCAGCACAGTTCAGCATGTTCCAGACAATCAAGGACCAACTAGAGCAGCGGACACGGATCCTGCAGGCCAACATCCGGTGGCAGCAGGAGGAGCTGCAGAAGATACAGGAGCAGCTCTGCCTGGTCCAAGACTCCAGCGTACAGGTGTGTAACTGCTGGAAGGGGCAGAGTCAAGCATCCTCTCTCACATGGCCATTGATACAGTTGGCAACTTATAATTTCTCCAGAGTCCAGGAAATCTGGACAAGTGGAAACCAGCTCATCTGAATGAGGATGTTGCCCTCTGAAAGCCTCTTGAATAACCTATGTCAAGAAAGATTTAAGAGCTCTCTGGAAGAAGAGAAGGAAGAAAGACCTCAACCATAAGAGGAGGAGAATAATTTGGGTCACTTACAGTAGCATTTTATTACTTTATCTATTGAGTCTTCAGACCGAGCAGCTGTAGTAGAAAAATGTTCAGTTTCAGACTTGCCAATGATCATGTCTCTGATTCATTAGCTTCCATCCAGTCACTGCTTGCTTCATGTTGACATCACTTATGCTCAGTATCTTCCCTGTCCAGCTATTCTTCCAAATAGTGTTCATCTCTTACAGTCGCTCCCTGTTTTCCTGACCCAGCCTGGCTCAGATAGAGAGCACAAGAGATTAATTTCCTTGTCATGTTAAAACCCCTGAACCTCTGCTAATGTTCATTTGTTCACACCTGGGAGATGTCAGAGTTTGTTCTTCACTGGACCAGCTTAAGCCTTTAGGCCAAATCTGACTGAGGCTGCTCTTCTTCTGGCTTTGATACCTCCTACACAGAGCTAGAATTCTCTAGTACAGTATCTGCTTTTTACTGCCCCTTATGTCTACCAAACCTCAGAAATAATAGCAAATGCAGTTTAGTACATCACAGATTTCCCTTAACAACAAATAGACCAATCATGCAATTTTATGGAAGTTTTCTGAATGTGGGGTGATTACTGCTATGTTCCCCATAATTTAACTATAAATGCCAGATTAAATGACCCTTGTTAGAAATGTTGCATTGGGCACCCTCTGTGAGTATTATACTAGCAAGATTATTTTAGAAGACAAGCTCTGTCACAGAAACGAACATCTCAAAGAACGTTTTAAGCACAGGATGAAAACCTGGGAACTACTGAAGTCAGCAGGAATTTTGCTTGTGACTTCCACACAGAAATAGACTCTCACCCATCATCAGCATCTGTGAAATGCAGTTTCACATATTAAAACAAATTGGGATTGTATGTTTAGGCAATTAAGGGATCCGTGAAGCCAAATTAGAAACCTTGCCACCTAAGTTGCTGCATGTGCACTGTTGTAAGACGGTGCAACTGTGGGTCCCAAACCCAGGATTCCCTGTTCCTGGTGCCATATAAGCATATAGGTAGACCAGGTTTAGCTTCAGTGCATTTCTTCTATTGATTCTCTACTGACTTTGATTAATGGGAAGGAAAAGTCTCTCTGCAATTAAGTGGCCTTCAGTTCAGAATTATGTCATATGTCTGAAAGCTATTACTGCTATTATGAGTATCAAGAGATGTGATATTCTCACTTCCTCTCTTTTTAATTGGGTGACAACCATTACTGTCTCCTGGTGAAGTCTTCAATAGTCATATACACTCTTTTTTTTTATATAACTGAGGCAAAAGTAGAAGTTTAGAGCACATCCTTATATGCAGGAAACAGATTTTATTTTTAGAAAATTGTCTCCTATATGCACTAGGGGGCATTTAACAACCCAAAGACCATGGGACAGATTCTCAGATGTGCTCAGAGGAAGCTCAAGCAAAGAGAAGAGGAGGCACAGTGGGTAAATGGTGGGTAGTTCTGTCCTGCCCATCCCATACCAATTTGTTGCTCTGAGGGATACCATTTTGGTGATCCCCTCTCTCATGAAGACTGTTGGACCAAGAATTTTCAGACCATTGCAAGTTCTCTGGTGTCAGTACCAACCATTTCCCAGCTTACTGCAGATGCAGAAGTGAGAGGCAGGGAGAACAGATGGCAGCTTGGAAATGCAGGGGCTGCATATCTGCCTGAAGGGGCAGTGCTGGATGGGGAGGGTCATCCTCTGTGTTTTAGGTGCCTTTTGGTCTCCTTAGAGCAAACAAATAAGGCAATGAGATGCGAGCAGGCACACTGACTCCTGGCCAGGCCTTTTTCTTCTCCCACTTTCTCTAAGTAAAAAAACAAAAAACGTACAAAGAAATTACTGTGCTGTTGCAGGGATAGATTGAGACCAGGAATTAGTTTTGTTTTACTTGCCTATTACTTTGTGATTTCAAAGAAAGCCTTATACTTCTGCATGCAGCTCTTTTGTGACTCATAAGCAGCAAGAAGTAAACTGTTAAATCAGAAATTCAACCATGTGCTTTGCCACACAGATTTCATCATTCAGGGAGCTGGATGTCTGCAGACATTGATCTGTGTCTATTATCAGAGCTACAAAGCATAGTAGCAAACAGGTGAGCGTTACTATCAAGCACGTTTCTAGTCTCTTTAATACTCTGTGAAGAACAGCTGTAAGCATGGGGGAGTGCCGAAGGCTGTCTGAAAAGGGGGAAGTGTTCCCTGCTTTTCCCTCATTAGCTGATTTATTAGCATATCATCCCCACCGGTTCATTCCATTCCTCACAGAAGTGTATAGGTAGCTCTGTGGAGAATTAAGCCCGATTTTCATTTCCTTCAAAGATCTTCAAAACTGCAGTACAGCAGTCCACCAGGAAATGCTTTCCCAGATGGACAGATGTTAAGCACGGTAGTCTGCATTAGAAACTATTTGCAAGAGCCTTGTGCAGTGAAAGATTAAACCATTGGGAGGGTTACAGGCCCTGAAAAAAGGTGTTCAAAACCCCATTAAATCCTTGTTACTGCTTTTCCTGACAAACGGGACAAGAGCAGCAAGAGTAACCTCAGAAGTCTGAAGGATGCTGTGTCTGCTCCAGAACTGAACAGTCTAGCTAATGATTTGTAGATAGGGAGGAAGGCAGAAGGGCTGAGCCTCACCAGCTTGCAAGAACTACAGTCGAGACTATCCACAGCTACCCGTCATTTGCAAATCGGGCTCCCTTCGAAGTCAGTGAATCTCAGCTTCCCAGTGCTGTGCTTCTCATCTTTACATATTTTACATAAAGAGTCTTGATGCCTGTAATGATGAGCCCAAAAGCTATAATCCCCTGATTATTTAAACGACAGGTAGAGTCGAAGAGATGTGTTCCTCATGATTCTTGTCAGTGTGATTCACCCATTAGCTGTAGGGACCATCTGTCCTGGAATGAAGGGGCAGCAGTGTCAGAGGGTCTCTCCCTTCCCTCGCTGCTTTGCTGTGTATGTTAACAATCTGACCAATTAAAAAATATTTGTAAGATGCTTCACTGACCTTGCAGTCTACAAAATCACCAACAAGACATGTCATTAGCAGCAGTACAGTTAGGAGGCTGCTAATTTATCTGCTTAGACTGGGAAAGAATTCATTTTTTATTAGGAGGTTTCTGCTGTTATTTAAAGCTGCCATATTTCAGTGTTTCAGGGGAATTCAGGCAGGACTATCATAAAAGAGGCACATTATGAAAAAACACCATTAGGTTTTGTACAAATTAAGCTTTTAGGTTTAACTAGCAGGTAGGAATTCCATGCTTTGATCCTCTCTCAGATTAACTCTTGTTTTGATAAGGCATCTTGAGTCTTCAGTTCTGCAGGGACACAGTCACCATTGCTTCCTGCTCTGAGCTTAATTTTTTCCAGGTCATTTATGTTCAGAGGGTAACAGTGCTGCTTTGGCCATTATAATGGCAACAGAGAGTCCCTAGGTATGAACCACTAAGAGCCCTCTCAAGGTACGAACACGTGAACAAATGAAATGGGTTTACTGGGATAAACTTGATTCTAAATTTATAGCGCGTTAGCTGCCAACCATTTACTGTGCACATTCCTACCCAGTGGCAAACTCTGGTAATTGCAAAGTAGGTTACTCTGCTTTCTTTCGAGGATAAGCTCCTTGGCCTTCATCTTGAAGTGAGGCATGCACACAGGGAGGCCCCTGCTAAGTAAGTAGTTTGCTGCAAGTTCACAGCCTGCTTGACATTCACCTTGATAGATGTTGACTTTATATTGGGTGAACTTAGTATTTTTCTGGTGCTGTGTGCCACGAACAGGGAAGACACTAAACTAATCCTCCTAAAGGTCTTAATTTGCAGTGATCTGTCCAGTACCACTGGGCCCACAGTCCCTCTGACATTTTTGAAATGCACTACTTGCTTCACCTGTTCTGAATTTTATGTCAAATTTTTTATATCAAATTTTGTATCAGTGGTGACCAATTTCATTGCTAGAGCTAATCAAGTGATTTCATTTACTAAACATGTCTAAAGCTTAGCTTCTATGTACAGAAAATAAACAAGAAAATGAATTTTCATAATTTCTGTCTTTGATTTATTCATAATAAGACCTATTTACTTGGCAGAACTTGTGAGACCATCTGTCTTTCTGATATGTAATGGCTCCAAACTCAGTGAACAGTGTTTTTTAAAATAAAACACTCGGAGCTAGTTTCAGACGTGCTTTGAGCAGCCTCAGCTCTGTCACTTGACCCATTTATTTCTATCAGACATCTTTGAGATGTGGTTAGCCTACAGCACCTGAAACAAGCTGTTGCTTTTCCTTAATTGCCCCCCCTCTCCCAGCTGATTAATGTAAGTTTGTACCTTTTTTCTGAGTAAAGTCTTGGCACACAGAAATTCATTAAAAATTTATCATATTTAAATAAAAATTGTGTTTTAAAAGCTAGATAAATAAGTACAAACATGATGGGTCAAGCCACACTTACGCAGAGAAAAGCAGTGCATTGTGCCAGGCCTTTGGAGAAAGGTATGGGCTTTTTCCAAGAAAAATTAGAGGGACATGATAGTTTAGGGAATTGTTAATATAGCAATAAGCTGCAGAAAGGTGTACTGATTACTGGGTGTACCTCAGACATACTGCTACGCATGAGGCTGATGGATGAATAATGAAGAGAGTAATTGTGATTCTCATTTCATTTAAAACCTAAGTAGCTCCACTTAAATTAATGGAGTTCCATGAATGTAACAGTTGCACGGAATCAGAGTCAGCTCCAAAAATGACTTCAACTGCATGGGAACTTCAGCGGTATCTCCATACAGTCCTTGGTGGCAGGAGGCTAGGTCTAAAATACTGCAAAGAGGGCTCTTAGCATTAATAATGCGTAGTTTTAAAAGATTACTTTTTCCTCTTTGCAGTTATAATAAAAGAAATAGCCTCTAGAAAAGCAAAAATTCCCAAGTCCTATAACTTTTAAAGAAGAAAGCCTCATCTTGCAATGCAGGAAAAAAGAGAACATCATTTACAGAAACTCTAACAGAGGAAGGGCTGGCTCTTTTGCACAAGTCAAATGCATGGCACAGTTAGGAAGAACACCAGGCGACAGTTACCTGATGGGAAATCAGATAAATGACAGCGACTGTCTGTTTACACATCCTCTCAATGATAAGGACACAGCCATTCAGCATGGAGAGCTCTGCCTTGACTGTGGCCTCATTAAAAACATTTGAAGACTCAGCTGGATGTCAGGTGTTGAATTTCCAGAGACAAATTCAAAAGCAGTCCTGTCTGAAAGGCAGGCAGATTATTGTTGAAAGGAAAAAGAAAAGGACTGAAAAGATATGGAGGTTACTCTTTGGTCAGGATGCCCCAGAACACAGTGAATGTACTGGGAACTGCTCTTACGAGGGCTGTGCCTGCCCCACGGAGAGAGAACTTATACCTTCAGGACACATTTCACTAGTAATGGGTGCACTTGCAGAACAAGAAATGAAGAAACTAGACAGCAAAACTGCTAATATAGGATTGAGAGGTGATTTCCAACTAACAGTAAATGCATAATGAATCCAGAAATGTACTAACTTTATTTTATAATGTATTTCTGGATTTAATTCTGTCACTTTCATTATTCAAGACAGCTGGGATATGTAAAAAACCCCTCCCCTCTTCTTTTCCAGATGTTCTTACAGCAGCCAACAGTGTCCCTGAGCTTTAGCAATACTCAGCAGCTGGACCCACAACAGCTACAGCAGAGGTCAGAGGCCATTTCTCAGCAGCAACTTGTATCCAGTCCTCAACTCCAAGGGCAAATCACATCTTCACAAACAACAAACCAGCAGGCACTGAGAGAAGCAAGCGTGATATTGAGCCAGGTAATAATTTCTTTGAATAGAGAAGTGTTTAGGTGGAAAGAAGACACCAAGCTGTTATTAAGCAAGGAAGTAAAATCATGTCAATCCTGTAAGTATGCCTTTGCCTTTCCTTCCTTATTCTTCTCTATAAGGGAGTCTATATAAAGGGTTTCCCTATAGCATTTACTTTAGTTTAAATCTCTTTTTTAAGACCTCAGCCAGGAGGATTACTTGAGCAGCTGTTTCAACTCGAAAACAGAGCAAGGGGAGCATGCAAAAGGTGTGGGTAACTTAATTGTTCTTTGGGTGGTCCTGAAAGAAACATGGAAACTGCTAGCTTCCAGTCCCCAAGTGGACTGGAAACTAGCAGTAGTGGTGCCAGCAGTGAGACCTTGCATAATACTTGCTCCCCAAGTCCAGTGGGACACAACTAACGCAACAAAGCCTGTGTCTGCTGTGATGGCACACAGAATATACATTGAGATTTGTGTGAGACCCTCAGGTTATGAGCATTAACAGGTTCCTGCACAGCAATATAAAGTTCAGCCTGAGTAGTAACTGAGATCTGTGAAAGCTAGTAGGTTTGGCATGGGTTTTTTTTTTCTCACTGCCGTTTTCTCAGCATTTCCAGTGTTTGCTCTTCCACCCACCTGTTCTACCTGCCTTCATAGAAAACCGAGCTATTTCAGCTCCCTGAGTGTGCGGGAAACATAGCTGCATTATTATCTTCAGAGCCCTCAGCTTTTCACTTCCAACATACCTGTGTTATCATGATTCTATTAAAATAAAGAGTGTATCTGTATTGTAAATACAGATTTCTGCTGGTGGGCAGAAACCAATGCACAGGAAGTTCCACCTGAATATGGGGAAGAACTTCTTTACTGTGTGGGTGACTGAACACTGGAACAGGTTGCCCAGAGGCGTTGTGGAGTCTCCCTCAATGGAGATATTCCAGAACCGTCTGGATGCAGTCCTGTGTCACGTGCTCTGGGGTGCTTGAGCAGGGAGGTGGGACCAGGTAACCCACTGTGGTCCCTTCCAACCTGACCCATTCTGTGATTCTGTGAAATAGGAAAAAAAACAAAAATATTTTAGCTTTAATAAGGTTTGTTCCCATCATGGCCCTTGGCGGCAGCTCCTCACACCTAACTTTGCTCGTGTCTTCATGGGGGGGGGGTCGCTTGGGCATTGCTTTCCCAGCCCCGCCGCGCGTCGGGCAGCAGCGGGTGTCACAGTCGTTCCGCGTATCGCGACAGCAGCCGGGTGGCGGCATCGCCGGGTGCTGTTGCTCGCGTTTGGCTCCCTCACCTTCCTCTTCTCCTCCAGGGCCCGAAGGCAGCGCGGAGCTCGGAGCTGGCGCCGGGCGGCCGCGCCCCCCCCCGCGCCGCGCCCCCGCCCTTCGCCGCAGCCCCCGCCGGCGGCGGCCCCGCCGCGCCCCCTGGCGGCACCCCCGGCGCGCCCGCCCCCGGCTGCAACCACGACCAGCAGCTCAGGTACGGCCCGGCCGTGTGTCCGACCTGCCCCCGCCGCCTCGGGACCCCCTGCGCGGGCGGGGGAGGGTCCCCTTGGTACCCAGCTAGGCACTGAACCAAAAGAGCTGCGCTCCGATACCCTGAAGGCTCAACGACAAGCCATCCCCACTAGCGGGAGCAAAAGCAATGTCGCTGCCCTGAAACCCCACGCTCGTGGGGAAATTATAAATGTGGTTGTATTAGTGTACTAATCAGATCATAAATTTGGAAATAGTTAATGTTTTAGTTTTGCTTAGTGAAAATAGCAGTCAAATCGCAGATCAGATCTTGTAACTGGAGTAATGCAGTGGTGAATTAAAACCCCCTGAGTATAGGTGTCTGATCACTTAGCGTTATGAAAAATGGAAATCTTGCTACTGGCTTTAAAGAGCACAAGGTGAATTTAACCGAAGTTGTAAAATATTACTCAAGCAGCCAGATACTTGGCAGATAATAATAAAAAAACATGATTTATTAGTCGTGTGCCAGGCACCCACATCATCCCAGAGGGCAAGCACTGCCCCAGCCTCCTCCTCCAAGTGCCCAGGATGTGCCTTCCACAACTAGAAGCTGAGGTCAGACCTCCTAACACTCAGCCTAGTGCCATGCCTGTGAAAATGTCCTGTTTCTGTTTGCAAAATGTGTGGTCCTTCTGTTTTCGCAATGTTGTTCTTTCTTTTTTCCCATGCATCAGACTGTTGCTCAGCCAGCCTATTCAGCCCATGATGCCTGGGTCCTGTAATGCAAGACACTCTTCAGACCTCAGCATGGCAGGATCCCAGGCTAAGTATGTGACTTGTCAAAGATAAAACATCAAAGTTGCTTTTGAGGGGAAATGGCCTTCTTTCGTAAGATGACAAAGTAGTTATAAATATCATGAATGTGTTACTGTGCCAAGCCTGCCTTCCAGTGTCAGGCTCAGCCTTACTCTGCCTGGTTACATCAGGAAGGATGACAGAGAGAAATACAATGTGCCAGTGGCATTTTAACAAGCCATGGCTGGGGAAATTTTTGCCCCTCACACGCTGCTTTCTTCAGCACTGGAACTTCTGACCCATCACAATAAATGTGAGAGAGAAAGTCAGCACTGACCTGGTTGAAATGACTGGTGCCATGAAAACCCCTGCTCTCTAGGCACTGAGCCACTGGTGTTATGCCAGTGGAGCTGTGCCTGATCTACAACAGCAGAACTGAAGAACCAACAGGCCCCTGCCCTCATAAAAGGTGCTGAACAAACCACTTCAGTTGTTTGTCTCCTCAAAACTTAGAGGAAGGAAGTAGAACACCAGTCAGACTCTGACTTTTTTTTTTTTTTTTAGCTGTGTTTTGTCACTGTACTGTACTTAATTGGGAATTGCGAGAATAATAGGCAGCTCTTTGTACCTCATTACTTTAAAAGTAATTCTGTATGTTACCTCAGGAACGTAGGTATTCAGTACTTCTTTTTTTTAAACATTGATTATTGCTGTTTAAGATTGTCTTGAGTTATATTTGTCAAATTTAAATATTGTAAATCTGCTTTTATGCCTCTGAATAAAAGAGGCCTTATTTGCAAAGATGGATCTCCCAGTTCACATAGACTTCCTGACTCATGGGACTCTTTTATAGGAGCTCACATCCCAGTACAAGTACCCAGACTGTAGCATTTCTGACTAACCCCTAATGTTGAACAGCTGTTGAGTGAACACAAGCCACACTATGATCTCATCACCCATTACAGGATAAACAGAATTAGGCTGGGTTGGCAATAATTCCATTGTGGTTTTGCCCACAGCCTTCCACTAAAAAACACATATTAAAGCTTTGCTATGCAAAAACAGAATGGCAAGAGGAGATGACTATTTTGTTTCTGTCCCATCCCTCACTCCAGAGGGTTTCTAGAGGCTTCTTCTGTTCCTACAATGGGGCTCATGGTGATGGGAACTGCTGACCGTACTTGGCAATATGTGTATGAGCAGCTTAAGAAGTAATCAACCCCAGCCATGTTTCTGCAGGAGATCACCACCCCACAGGCAGTCACAGGGGAGCACAGGCAGCAGGACAGGAGGTGCATTTACTTCTCTCTTGCTGCAGTTCAGAGCTCAGAATATTAAAACAGAATCAAAAGCCATTTGGTTTAATGAGCTTGGAATGTGAATGCTGTGGCTGAAGAGAAGACATACATAAACCGGAATCTTTAATGAACCTAAAATGTGATCTGGATTTTGAGGCGAGATACATTCTTCCCTCCAAGCCCAGCTCATGCACACAGTAAGGGAAAACAGTGCTGCCAATGGTGCTGTCATTCATATTAGCAGGTCCCATGCATGAGAATCCTTTATTGGGAATTATTTGGGGTTTTTCAGCCTGGAGAAGAGAAGGTCAGGGTAGATCTGACAGCAGCCTTCCAGTAGCTAAAATGGGCTACAAGAGAGCTGGGGAGGAACTTTGTACAAGTGTACGTAGTGATAAGACAAGAGGTAATGGGTTTAAACTGAGAGTTGGTTTAGATCATATATTATGAAGAAGTTCCTACTGTGAGCATGGGAGGCACTGGAACAGGTTGCCAAGAGAGGCTGTGGATGCCCTATCCCTGGAAGTGTTCAAAGCTAGGTTGGATGGGGCTTTGAGCAACCTGGTCCAGTGGAAAGTGTCCCTGTCCATGGCGTGGGGCCTTGGCACTAGATGATCTATAGGTTTCCTTCCAACCCAAACCATTCTGTGATTCAATGAATTATTAAGACTAGGGATTGCCATCCCTATCCTAAGAGAACACCTTTGCTTCCAACAGTTTGTTCTTGATTGGTAGGTATTCTCAAACCCAACAAATGTTTCAAAGTTTGGAAGTGCAGACTTCCAGCAGCAGCTCTCCAATCATACTGATGGGACAAGCAGTGTTAAACCAAGGGTTCACCACTACACCTCCTTCCCAGCCATCTTCTCTGCCACCTATGCAACTCCAGCACCAACAGCATCAGCAACAACGCTACCTGCAGGTAGGACAATGAGGGTGATGTATAAAATGTACATGCAGAGTAATAAGGTGAATGGGCTGTGCAAACGGGGCTCCATGTGTCTACTGGAACGTGATCCTGGCAGAAATGTCCATTTTAGAGATAGCAACATATATGAGACACTGATACAGTGTCATGTAGCAGTATAGCAAGGGAGCAGTGAGAACAGTCAGAATATTTAAAAGGAAATTACTAATTCTGTACATTGGAAGCATAATCAGATTATCCTGGATATATTTAAAGTTTATTTCTAGCTGGAGAAAATTGCTGCCTTAGGATTTATTCTGTACTCTTTATTCAGTATAAAATTTGCTTATTTTACAAGTCAAAAGATGATTTTTAATTACTAGCATCAACATAAAATGAGATCTGGATCAGATATCTGGATCCCTTCAGTAAATTAACATATTTTCTCAACTCCACAAGGCAAAGAAGATAAAGTGGAGCTCATTGCCTGGAAGAACCAGGTGATTTGAAGATGTAAAAATATTTATTTTTTGACCCAGTTCAACACATACTACAGTAAAGGGGAAGGGGGGAAAGGAGGTGTCTGTTTGTTAACTCAACAGGCGCTGAACTGAGTCTATAAAACCTGGTCATGTATCCACTGGCATCATTGAAAGAGTATCACCAACCTCAAATGATTAAGCTCTTGTTATTGAAATTAAATCCTTATCATAGCTGAGAATTAATGAAAAAAAGTATGGCAGATACTGTTTCCAGTAAAAGCATCTGCAAAATTCACATTGACTTTACCACTGCAAGGTCACACCCTACTCACAAAAAGGAAGGGCTAGAAGGGACAGCATGAAGCACATTGGGATCCCTGTTTCATTTTTGTTTCATTTCTGTCATCCATCTGTGTCATTTCTGACATGTTTGCCCACCCTGCTCCTAAACAGGCTTTTTAGAATAACCTGCAAATCTCAGGCAGTGCAATCCTAAGAGAAAACCTTTCTCAGTGCCTAATTGGAATGTTGTTTGTTGCAATCTATGTCCATTCCTTCTAGCGTTAGTTAAGCTAACCTCATGCCAAACAGCTCCAGAAATTAAAGCCAACACCCTAGTAGTATTTTTAAGCATCCTGTACATTGAGGATGTACATTAAACAGGGGAAAGAATCAAACACCACAATAAATTTTATTTTATCTGTAGGTGCAAACACCAAGTTCTTTGCACAATGAACAACCCGATTCTTTGCTCCTGCCATCTTACTCACCACAGCAAGGAAATATGGGGTATCATCAGACACAACAGCAGCAGCAGCAACAGCAACAACTAACATCAAGAAGAAGGAATAGCTTATCAGAATCATCAAATTTACCACAGCCACTGCGATAGAGTCCCACCAGCACAATCAATGCACGATTAGCTTTAACCAATGGGCACATGGGGCAGAAGAGAATGACTTTGTACTTACTGTTCTGGCTTTTGCACAAGCATTTCTTTCAAAGCTCTATGACAGAAGTACGCCACAGAGTGCAGACTGCAACTGACAGCGCATTTACAGCACGCTGGATTCAGTTTGCGCTATCTCGTGAGCACAGTATGTACTGACAGAGCAAAACAAAGAGGAACACTACCCTGTGCAGCCTCCATCACCAGTGAGTGCACAGGAGAAGGCGTTCAATCTCAGCATGTCGTTCTGAAAGCTATCTGGCAATTCCAAAAGACTGTTGGCAGACTCATGAGGTATTTGGCCTTCACTGTTTCAGTTCTTCTTTTGTGTATGAAAAGCACTGCGTCAAAGGTCTATTGAGGAGAGAACAAGAGATTATTTTTATTATGATTATTGTTATTATTTTGCACAACTGCACAGAGGACAAAACCTAGGCACTTTCTGTAAAGAGAAGTTTGTTTCTTCATTCTTGTGGCCAAACTAGCACATCCAATGGAGGAGAAAGCCCAGCCATTGGTGAAGATGGTCTACAGCTCATAACCCTTGATTTAGAATCTGAAAAGTATTATGCAGCTTACCCTAACTGTTCTTCATTACGAAACAACCAACCAAAAAAACAAACCCACAACCCACTCTGGACTGTTTCCTACATGAATTGTGATTGCAAAAGAGAACTCAAATTGTAAGCACAATCATGCAACTCTCCAGTAGTACAACATGAATCCTTCTTCAACCTAACTCGCCCACTCCAAGTCTCTGAGAAATATGCACTGTGTTTTGGCCCAGTGACTCGGGATGCTGCAGACTATTACATATCTCTTTCATTGTAACATTTAGGATTAAATTTTCCTTTGGAGGAAAAAAAAAAGAAATGCACTTTTCGCTTTTTTTGTATGTTTTCCGTTGATATGTTTCTAAGAAAGATTTTATGTAATTATTAAATAAAAAGTAGTGTATTGTACAGCTGTTGTAATAATGACCTATTTCTATATAAAATAAAATTATATGGAATTATGTGGAAATTATTTTGTATATGAAATATCAACTCATTTCACAAGTATAAAGATTGTGCTTGTGCTTTTTTGTGAGTGGGTATTTTGTAATAAACTAATTAATTAGAAATGTTTTTGTGAAGGGAACTGCTGTTTCATCGTATATACAACTCAAACTATTATTTTTTTCCATTTAATGATGGACAGTTGTCTTTATTTGTAGAATAAAATAAAATAGCCAAAAGGCTTTATTGCAGGACTTGCACACATTTTCCTGTGACTGTTCAACTATGTGATTCAGTTTAGACTTTTTATCTTAGCCATAGCCTTGCATGGTGTTTGGCACGTGGTTAGCAAAAACAAGTATTATCCTATGGGATTTTTGTCATGGCATAGACTCTGAGAATGATAGCTCAGGAAGTTATATTAGCTGCTAGCGAAGACAGTTCATTTTAAGCACCTTTAAAACTTTAAAGACCTCAGGCAGCTCTGTACTTCCAACCAAACAGTTTTATATTAGGACAAAACGGATGGTTTAAAGAACAGTTTGACCCAGCACACACAAGGGCTTTGAATCATGTCCAGCTTTAGTGTTTTAAGATATTGCTGTCCTGAGTTTTGTGACACATCTTTTCTGGAATGCTCATGCTGTAGACAGTCTGGTTTCCACTTTAGCATCCTTGTGCAGACTCTTTTCAATGTTAAATTCAAATTGACTACAGGATGGAGCAGATAGGGTATAGGTCTGCTTTCCCTCTGCTGACTCTGCTGCAGGAGCAGCAGCCTCCAACACAGATTGAGGTGGATAGTAATGTCTTCATTTGCCACAGCAGGACTGAAAGGGGATGGCCCTCAGGGCAGCTTGCAGCCACTGGAGCCAGCATTAGCTTCAAGAGAGTGCAGTCATGCCCTTCCCACCCTTCAGTACCAGGGATCACATCACCAGAGACCACCGTGTTCTGGTTTCTGTGCCATAGAGGAACAATGGAGGTAATCGGACTGGCAACTGGAAATAGTGAAAGAAAACTTTTCAAGAAATGAAAATGTTCATTTGCCCTGAGTTCTGAAAAAGTTAAAAATCTCCTGAAGAAAACCCACTGGCAAAATGACCTTGTTGCTTTGACAGCAAAACTGGGTGGTAGCACTGATCAGTGCACATGTATTTCAGTCCATACAACTCCGCAGGTTTATTTCACTGAAAGAATATAAGGGAATCAAGTCTAGTCTCTAGGAAGTGTTTAGCTAATAGATCTGGTCTGTAAGAAAGTGTTTTTGCTGCCATCTTTAGGTACCTCTGTGAGTTAGCCGACTCATCTCTTTAAATTCTTGTGTTCAGTGAAGCAAGAGTGACCCCACCAGATGAAGATTAGAAAGCTAAATCCAAAGGTTTCACTTAATGTCTGAAGGAACCTCCCTCTTTCCATAAACTATAGACAAACCTAAGTGAAGCCCAGTTGGCTAAGTTGGAGGCTAACTTTATAAATTCCAGCCGCTCCTGTAAGGCCTTATCCTGGGAAAGGGGAGGAGAAATCTGTAAGTTCAGGCAGGAAGAGGTAACAAAGGAACATGAGTACCTCGTAAGAAAAACATGTGGAAGCAGCAGTTGATGGATCTCAACCACTGTGACAGAAGTCCCAGAAAGGGAAAATTCCTTTGTTTTACTCTCAGAGATAATACACCCACATCTCTCTCCCAACTGCCAGTGGTATGTCCAAACCATGCTCAGCCTTGAAGCACTTTTCTAAAACTAGCAGCACTGTAAGCTGTTAACAGAGAGAAGCTGCAAATAGTGTTGGGTTGCCTTAAGTTGGCTTATTACACTGTTTGGAAGGATACAAAGTGGTTGCAAGAGCAGATTTATGTCAAGACCCAGTTTTTCATGATCTGTCTCATTTCTTCCCTGTACACACATTCTGGTTTGGGGTTACTGTACTTGTTCCCTGTTGCACACACAAGGCAATGCTAGTTCTCTTCACGGAGCTGGGCTGTTGTTTTAGTTCATTACAGCCGAGATCCAGCTTGTTCCAATACAATCCCTCAGTTTGGGCCGGTTTTCTGGGCAGGTGGCCAGGCGGGGTGCTTACAGCAGGCCACTGCTCCATGCTTCGCTTCTGTCTCGGGAACAGGAGCTACAGATCTGAAGGGGGAAAAACGTTTGCTAGAAGCACAACTGCGCCAAGCTGAGCCCACCACACAACTCACAGGAGAGAGGCTAAAGAGGGCGCGGGCACCAAACACCGCCGGTACCGGCACACAGACTGAACACCCCCGGTACGGACACACAGACACACGGCCCCACCAACACCCCCAGCACCGGCACACGCAGCCCCCGCCCCCTCAGGCCAGCCCCGCCCCGCCGAGCCGCTCCCGGCGCCGGCGCAGTCTGTTCCCACCCTCGTCCCGGAAGGGCTCCTGTTTCCCGGAGTGCCTCGCGCGCTCCTTTCCGGCCTGTGCCCGGGCAGGGTGAGTGCTGGTGGGGGCCCGTCCCGCCGAATCCGCCTCCATCCTCCCCGCAGACCCCGCGGCGCGGGGGGTCCCTGGCCCGGCTCGGCGCGGGGGGCGGCCCGGTGCGAGGGGCACCGGCTGGGAGCTCCCGGCGGGCCCCCGTTCGACGGGAATGGGGCCCATCTCCTGCCCTCCACCCCCGTCTCTCAGGCCCGGGGAGGCCTGCGGGACAGATGGGAGGTGGATACGGCCCGTGCTGTCAGTCCCTGGAAGGAGCCGCTTAGGCATCGTCATGTTCATTCCGGGCCGGGCTGAGCTGCCCTGCCGGGTCGCCTTGAGGAAGGAGGGCTTTGGACACACAGGATCAGGACGGGGCCATCGTAGGAGCGCTTGGGGCTGGCCGGGAGCCCGCTCTTCATGTGAGGTGTTCAGAGTATCGGGTGTGCTTCCTGCGCCTCTCAGGCAGATAGAGTAAAGCACTTGTGATACTGGAAAGGTGCTGCGTGTAGCCTGCGACTGGTGCGACCCGGGGGTTAATTAGGTTTAGGTTTACAGTTCCGAATGTGGGAGTTGTGTGGTTCGTAAGGGTCTGGGGAGGACGGGAGGGAAGGGGACGGGAAAAGTCCCGAGGGAAGTTGGTTTGACGCGTGTACGGATGTTTTTCAGCGTTGCTCAGATGGCTCCTGCAAAGAAAGGCGGCGAGAAGAAGAAGGGGCGCTCTGCCATCAACGAGGTGGTAACGAGGGAATACACCATCAACATTCACAAGCGGATCCATGGCGTGTAAGTTGTTGTTATCCCTTATGTTAAGTGGCATTTGGATGCGGCTTCAATAGGCTTTAAAGGGCAGAGGAGGACTGTCCTTATTGCATGTTGTTTGCGGTCTCTTGTGCCTCGGTTGTGTCCCGAGTAAGTAGCTCTGTACCTGTGCAGCGCCACACTTTGTATGTGGCTTTCTTTGCTGGTGAGTTTCCAGGACTTGAATTTGAAGTTATTTACTTATTTACTTCTGTGCACAGGTTGTCATTCTTTCCCAGGCATATGTTTAAAGTTTAGCCCACTGATTTAAGTTTTAGAAATTATATATTGCTGTAGTCAAATGATTGGCTTTGTGCTTGTCGTGAAGTCATGTGAGGTGTAAATTCGGGTATGATTTGAGTTAAAAGGATATTTGTTGTGTGTAGATGGAATTTTACCTGATAAAATGTTGAACCTCGTAAAACCGTGTAGTAGTGAAGTATTTGAGAGGAAACTGCATCACCCTTGCATTCTGTGTATGGCTGCAGTCATGTGGAAGACACAAGCTGAATCAAAATGATTGGGGAAATGGCTGAAGTTAACTTGGAGAGAAATGAGGCAGTGAAATATTGTAAAACCATGGGTGAGAGGGGGAGGCAGTGGTATTTTTTAATTGGCAATAAGATGTTCTGGCCTTGCCTGTTGATTGGCAGTTCAGTCTGTTTTAAGGCAGATGATCCTGCTATCCACTTTTCTTTTTGTGTTAT